TCCTCTTTCCCATGTATCCGTCTCTTTCGGTAGTTTCTGCGTCTTCTGGAGCACTTCAGTTAGGACATCGTCCTATAAACCTGACCAGCCAGTATCAGTTCCTGGCTATTTCACTGTACCCCCAACTACCAAAATATTTCTAGCCGACTAGCGGTCTGGATTATATGCAATAAAATCGCCTCTTCTTTTTTTATCTTTTTCATCTAAACTGTAGCTCCACAATTTCAGCCAAAGGCAGGAAGACAGCGAGTTGCAGCGCTACGGTGAACTCCGTATTTCTCTTAGCGACAACTACCAACACAAGCGTCTTCAGCCCGAGCGCCATTCAGCGTCTTTTCCGTTACTACTTTCTAATAACAATGTAATAGAGTAATACAGTCAGTATAATGGATTTTTTCTATGGTTGGGGCCAATTCTTATTGTTTTACTATATATCACTAAGAGAAGCTCTGGAAAACAATCAGCAGTAGGGAATCGATTAATAATAAGAGGAACCTTATTAAAGCGAGGACATTAAAGCAAACAGTTATAGTCTCGTTATATAACGACTGTGCGAACGTAACTTTTGATTGGGTTTTGTGACCGTTTCCTCGACGCATATCTATCACCTATGCGTAACAAACTAGTCACTACAGAAATGGCCAGTCAGATCTACAATGTGATACCTAACCATGTTCGCGCGGCAGTCACCAGAAGCGTATGAAATACCCAAGTAGCGAAGACGCGCTTCTTATTAAAGTATAAACGTGCAAAACGCAATTGAATACTTGCAAGTATCTCATACTAGCGTGAAAAATTATTAGGGATAGCACAGAGACAACGTAACCTTTATTATTTTGGTGAACCGGACATAGCCGGAAACGAAGATTATTTAAATATGGCTTACCCTTTCTTTGTGTTGCCTACCTAAATAAACACTACACGCTCATGACGCTTAGCAGACATGCCTTCAGAAGGACTAAACAACGATGGAGTGTCTGATTATTATTTCAATGTCTAATGAGAGGAAACATTAACGACAGCTATTAGGATAAAAACAATTAACCCATTTACATGCATGCAGTCGCAAGCGGACAAGACGTGGAAACGGAATAGCCATTAGGAGGTCAACACGCGCTAGCTTTTTACTGCTAAAGAAACGAAAGGTTATAGGGGGGAGATTTGTCTACCCAATGTTTACCTGGCTTTTCTTTGCTGCCGCAGTGCAATCAGAATGTTTCTGCGCCAGGAGCCCCTTTTCACTAAGGGATCCTTCTCGGGGTCGCGAGTTCGAGAAAGCTTGGGTTCCTTGTTTTTAAGGATTTGTTGTTTGAAACGTTCAATTTGGTGGCGGAAATCACGACACGCAATAATTATAAAGAGCTGAAGGAATCCATTAAGACTTTTTAGCTCGTACACTAACGTCCCAACGGTTATTCTTCATTTTTGTTTTTCTTCTCTTCCGAACAGCTCAAACCAGGCAGTTCGCAGTCGACCCATTAGCCCATCGCTTAGCACGAAACATCGTCTCAATGAGCAAAAATGATTTTAAATACAAGTCTAAAAAAGTAATCGCCGATGAAAAAAATTAGTGAGTGATGTGAGAAACTCTACGATAACGAGCAACAGGCAAACCTTTTTTTGAAAATATTCACGGTCTTTAGCAGGAGACAAGAGGCATCACTAGTAGATTTGTCGAAAAACTTAGAAAAAGTGGTTTTGTGTTCGAAGCTAATACGTTCTTAAATTTAATTAAATCTTGACGTTAACCGCTAGAAAATAATGTATTCGAACATTTTTAAACACGCGTGTTTATGAATACTGCGGGAGCAAAAGTTCATTTTTCGACATAACGTATCCACAACTTTTCCTTCTTCTTATTCCAATGAGATGCAAGTAGAAAATATGTTCACACACAGAATGTTTGCATCTGAATATCTTTTACAATAGTAGCAGAGGTACCCTCTATTAGTGTGCTTTCCCGAGCCGCGCGCCTCGCCCAATAGAATGCACGAGCTTAACAGTGCTGACTGCGATAAAGGCGAACGTTAATTTGTATAAATCTCCACTTCGTGTCACACTCACTCTCGACTAGCTTGACCTCCGAATTGTTCACTGAATCCTGTCAGCCGTGTTACTTCCTATGACATTAGCCGTTCGCTACCATCGCCTATCAATGCTAACTAGGACTTCGGCCTTTGTTGAGTCCGAACAGACACAGCCAATACAATTTATCTCACTTCGCCTCCCTTAGTACTTCCTTTTAGCTCACCCAGCTACGCTGCTTAAACCCTACCCCTTCCTCAACCAACAATTCAAATTTAAATTAATCAGGGAATAATCCCGAAGCGCTGCCTCTGTGTGATTTATTTCCCCTTCTTCATATGTATCCGCACAAAACATATATTAAGCGTTTGCTTTTCCTTTCTCCCTTATTCCCAACGTTCCACCACTCCTTTCCTTTTAATGCAGTATTATGAAAAAGCCACGTTGCAGGTTATCAGCGAAAGCAGTACCTGAAACTCCGACAAGAAATGGGTCATGGTTAAACAAATAGGTCGCTCGGGCTAATCACGGGAGGACGTGTAGAAGATAATATACATTGGACATCTTACACATAGGACAAGCGCCGAGAAAGACATGCCTGTGTTGGGCCTGGCACAGACCCTATCATTTCTATTCTTTATCATTGCCTTGTTCGCGTTTTTCTTCTATTTCTTTCTGTATTTTTCCCCGTATCGTTGGAATTGCATCCCTCCAAGCCACTGCGTATAGGCAGTTCGTCCCGAGAAGAAAGCCATGAGATTCCGGTAATACGCAGCATGAGACGAAAGAAAGACGGTGGAAACAAGACTGCTCTGGTTCCTGCTTTCGTTTCTCCTTGCATCTCTGCATCCATAGTTTTTATTAGCAGATCCATGAATCTTTGATGGTAGCGGTGAGAAGCGGAAACAAGCATGGAACGCAGCTGAACCACAAGCCCATGATGGTGATGCGGTGAACGAACCAGGAGGCGCCGTCTATCTCTGGGTCTTTGCCACCAGCAGCTTCCTCTTGCTTCTTTCGACCGTCATCTTGTAGCAACACCAATGCCCTGTCGTGACATCGCGGCGAATGCGCCGCCAGTATCTACGCTGTCTACAAAGGCTACGGACAATCGAACGGCTTTTCGTGCGGCTTGAAGAGGCTTTATCGGATTTTTTTTTTCGATCTGAAAGCAGCAGCAGCAGCAGCAGCTGGCCCCGCGCCGTGGTTGCTTGGTTCTCATTTTTGTCATTCGTCTTCGTTGTGGAGAAGAAGGTATAGGAACGAGATGCAAAGAACAGTACCTTTGTGCTTTCTCCAAAGAGCTAGAAAGAAGAAACGATTTCTGTACCGGCGGCTTTCGGCCTTCGATTGGTTGTGGCAGATATTATCGTTGATGCCATCTAAGAGTTCAGTTTCCTAACACAATTCTGCATCCACAGACCTCATATGAAGCATTAATATGACCTGCCCATTTATAGCCGTACGAGATCCGAAGGCTAGACTATCCATGACAGCATCGGGTTGTTTGGGATGAGGGATATTCAAATGTCTCCGGCATCAATACTTCCCTACGTTTAGGGTTCACAAAAGCACCTTTCCTACGCACTGACTAATTTTATTCCCACCCTACAGTAATGGCTGATGTAGTTTAGCGTAGTTTGATATATGACTAGACGCTTACGAACACTTCAGATTTTTCTGACCATTTATAATAAGGTTCGAGGGGGAAGCAAGAAGATCGTTCGCCAAATGGCCAGGCAATAGTTCGCTTCTCCTCATTGCTGACGCCGTCAGCTGGATTGAAAGTTCCTTTGTGCCTCTTAGAACGGCGGCATGCTCCTCGCGTTGATCTCAAACCGTACGCATATGAACCCAGTGCCAAGTCACTGGTCATCAGATTCCAAACTAGCGCGGAGAACCTCGCAAATGTTAGCTCTCGCTGCAACACAGAGCCCCACTATCACCTAGAAAATTCGTCGCTGATGTTTTTCATGAGATTACATCATCAGTTTCTTGCGCGTAGAAAAGCGAAGAGCAAATACACAAGTTGTTCCTAGGAGACCTGCTGACATGTTCAGTAGTTTAAATTATATCTGTATATATTATATTCTTTTAAATGTAACATTAAGGTACTGTTTATCTAAGCATTGCCTCTATTGGGCGATGGACTAGTGCCATCACGACAATTGCCTAGATGAGAAGTCTGATTGTTCATTTTACGTTACGCCTAATGCGTCATTGGTTGGTCTAATCGTCTTCTGCGTAAGTTACATCTGCTCATATAGATAACACCCGCCCGCACTAAGGATACCGATTGGCAATTTCATGATATGGATTGTTTATAAAACGCTTAGACTATTCTTAGATGTACATATGTACACGAGTATATATGGATACAAAATTATCTGACTGTTTCTTTTTAAAGAGACAAACGTATAAGGAATTAGGTGAGAAAAGCCTTCGACTGATACTACTGTTTTCATACACAAAGTTACTTACGTACGCAGTGCCTAGTAGCCAAGAAAAAGCTAGTAGAACTTCGGGAAGCGCAAATCGCATCCGGAGTAAACGTTGTAAACGTGAGATTCGCAATCGAAAAGTATAGACAAAATTACCTCGATTTGCGTAGATACGGTGTGCTAATTGATGCTCATCGATGAGGTGCTAGATAACATTTAGTAACAGTTAGTAGAATCTCGAAAGACTGACCTCACCAGCAGCGGTGGCCGCGCTCAGTTACATAGCATATATTATTATAGAGGGCGTTTGAAGTGGTTCTCAGAGACGGAATGAGTTTTCAACGGAATTATCCACGATACGATCTTCCAACGCATCAGGTTTCAGGCTAACTAAGGCCAAGAGTACGAGATACCGAAATTAACTATTATACCCATATTTCGTAACTTTCAGGTGACGATTTACGCATACAGCAAATATCAGTACATTAAACAGCTGATGATGATTAACTTTATCGTTCGTCTTTCCTCTTTCAGGCTTGAACGCCGTCAACACTGGCCTACCGCTTGGAAATGGTCTATTTGCAAGAGCAAGCCGATTCCAGCTCACACCATTGCATCTGCCTGTACCGAGCGATACCAACACTATCGATTTCACCAGCCAAACGGACACGTTTGAAAACTTCAAGGGTAAATAAACAACCTGCGAGAAAAACGTAATTAAAATAAAGATGAAACTGAGGGTTTTCTCTGAACAACTATTTGCTAGCAGAATAAATTTGAGTTACAGGGTGAAAACGGATTCAAAAAAGATTAACTATACATTGTTAACTAAATCACTAATTGTTTAGCGTTCAAAGCACTCTACGTACCTAATGTATGTGGTGACTGTTATGTGTTTATTTCAATATAATATAACAAACAAGGTTCTGTAGTTTATGAATGAAATGCTGATATGGTATGCTAATGTCTTAGAGAGTATAGAGTTAGGACATCTTGAATTGCAAACCTTTACACTGGTTTGACGCCAGTAAAACCATGCAGCAAAAATGAATAGTGATAAATTTTTGGAGCCGGTTTCCTGTGTTGTGTCATTCTTAAGTACGGTTCATTGTGACCAATTCAGAACCAGATGGTTTTGGCCGCCGCCGTCGTCAAGTTTGGACGTTTTCATTATCATAATGACCTACGGGGCGTAAGTATTGCACTAAAGCCGAAACTGCAATTCAGCGCAAACGAGATCGTGCTCTTGAGCAATATTCCTTCGAAACTTTGAACATAGCCACATTGATTTTATGAAACGATGGTGTATCCGGTTCCCTGCCATTACATATCATATGATGTGCTTTTGATTGATACCGCAAAATGTAAAAAAATTTCCATACAATTAAAACACCCCTTATTGACTCTGTGATCGAGATATCTATCTATATATTTACATTTTGTTATGGCCATTAAATCGATAGCAGGCTATGCGTGCAGGAAAAATGAGAATGGCACGTTTTCAAACCCCTCAACCCAATGGATTTCCGTACCTAACCCTGGAGAGGTTTCTGGCGAGCGTTATGACCATTCTGATATATAAACAATTGCTTTGCATCTCTTAGAAGCACGACACGCCGTCTTTCTCACCATTTTAAAATGTCAACCTTCTATAGAACCATTGGCGGATGTAGTTTTTACTATGACTAGCTACTTCTAGAAGTAGCTACTACTGCTTCTCATGGTCATCTTTGAAGGGAAAAATCACATTCATAAGTTTACGCATCTACAGCGCTAAAATTGAATAGGGAATGAATTTGAACAGCGGCCAATGCAACAACTAAAAATTTGTACTGCTATAAGTTGAGCAACCTCACATGTATTCATTTCTATGGTCCCACTCACTCCTTTTCAAATGTTCGATAAATAGGTTTTTTTTTTGTTACTATCAGGTATGATGATAGCAGATGATTTTTGAGAATCAGAGCAGCTGAACCGTTCAAGACCTTTAGCTAGCACGAACGTGTTTGAAGCAAAAGAAGTACCTTCTATCAAAATGAAATGAACTTGCTTACACCGTAGATGTTGGTCATGTAGCTCTAGTTTTAATGCATGTGTTTCGTTTGGTATAATTTATTGTTATTACTTTGACATTTGAATATTTCCTGTTATTGTTCCGTGAGCGCCATAGAGTAACTGACAGAATTATGATGAAAATTAATACCTCTCTTTGCTTGCTGCTGGCTTGGTATCGACAAATCTTTGTGTTCCGTTTACCTATAGATACTATAAGAGTTTGCATATATAGTTAGGTAACAGTTAGAATAATGTATCCGTTTCGCTTGTTTTCGATGTTGTTGTCGCTGCCATCGTGCTGGTCGCTTGAGTAACGGCCCTTATAACGAGCTGCCGCTTTCTATAACATCCTCACATCCTTAGCCATCGCCAGGCATCAAAAGAAGGCACGAAAGTTTTTCTCTCCTTTTTTTTTTAGTTTTGCCCTAGCTATCGCCCACTCAATCTAAGGAAATGTGCATGTCTCAATGCCTTACCTAAATGACGAATCTATTCCGGATTCAATTTCGATTCTATCGTTATCCACTTTTCAATAGCGTTCGCCAATGCAGGACGTCCAGCGGTGAGCACTAGAGAGAAGCTTTTCTCGTCCTTACTCGACTGACGTCTCTAGCTAGTACTGCCTTTACGTTCCATTTTCGAGACCATGTCCGTAAAGCCGGCTGGCTAACCGGACGAGTATTTCTTAGGTTACTCGCTACTTTGTTCTTTGCAATTTCTAAGATATTTGGCCTCTTTCGCGCAACTGCTACTTTCTAAGATGCCCTAGCTTGGCATGGTAATACACGTACGCATACACCATCCCAAACATCACGGGAACGCGAAGAGACTACGAACTCTCTTTCCTTTCCCAACGTGCCCGCTGACTCCTGAGCGGTTTCCAATACGGAACATGAACGAACGAGACATTCGAGAAATCAGATGAAGACGCAAAGTTTGTTTTTAGTTTCGGGCAGTGACAGGAACACGCGTATAGAAAAAGGGAAAAAAAGCCAAACGGAAGCCTGGGGTGTCTGTTCCATACTTATATGTCTTACATTCTAGTAGAGTAATATGAAGAAGCTAGTACTTTTCGATGGCGTAGTTTTTCCCAATAAGCCGTATTCTAGAACTAACTTTCGTCGATCCCAACGATTAAAGTCTATTTTCTACTCAAGGAGACAATTTTGGACTTTGAGACTCTGTTATTTGCCCGCTCAATTTGACTTCATCCACTGACACATATTTTTTACGTTAACTTTTATCAATTTGATCAAATGGACCAAAATTCAGCGCAGTGTACAGACTACTAGCTGGTATCCATCAAAAAAATGCCCTAGGCAATTTTCCCGTCTGCAAGCGAGACCTCTGCCGATGTGGTCATCCGCTAGTCCCCAGTACATTTCACACTCTTATGACTATTCTTAAGGTAGAAACTAGGCAGGTTGCTGGGGTACACGGACTGTGCGCTCCGCACTGAAGTCGTGGCAGTCGTGCTATTATTAAGGCTGTTGATGTCGCTGTCAAGATCGTTCGTCATTGGGACCTACCTCTCACTTACACGGACCTTCCAACAGCGACGCTTACCGAAGGATCGGTCACTAGTAATCTTTTGGTTTTTTCCAACAACTTACATTGCAGTTGTCCTAGAGAATAGCCACTGATTCTTTGTTCAATAGGGTATTGTCCGTACCTCACGACGAGCCCTATTTCTGTGCAGCAGATAACAGGATGAGAGAACGGCGTCAGTCCACAGGACTGGCTTGCTGCAGAAGACAAAAGACAAACAAGAAAAAAAGCACTAACCAGGCAGAGAAGGAAGAAAGTTGGAGACAGAATGAAACAAGGCCGAAGGAATGAAAGACAGGAGATGATTGTAGATGACAAAATAGCAGAAGATGCAAGAATCACAAAATCGACAGAAAAACTGAAGAAAAACGGGTAAAAAAGGAAAAACGTAGACAAGAGAAAACGTGAAAGGAAAGTCTGGTATTTGAAACTTATTCTTCTTCTTTTCGACAGAAGTTCTTGTTCCCTATCCTTAGCTTGATACTTTCAGCCTCTTTTAATGAAGGGTGATCTTGTATTACTGCTGTAACTGTAGAACAGCACACTTCAAATGCTGGTCGTCAGCATTCATAGAGGAAGTGGCGCTGGTAAGAACGAAATCATCCAACTACCTATATCTCTCTTTAGGAGATGGAAGACTGGTAGGAAATCGATACTGAAAACCTCGATAGTCATGAGGAAACGACGCTGATTATGCTAATGCTGTTTTCTTAGCAATGTCTTTCACCCTGAATGGTGATATGGCAGTGAGAGTGCTATAATTTCACTGGGTTCTGTCGCATGTATAGCTGTACCAGCATCATTACTATTGTGCATAATATGCAGTATTGGTCTGTAGCAAAGAAGAGACAGACTATGATTTCGAACAGTTTCTACTTAATTGCAATCATGCACTTGGACGAAGATGACAACAGCGTAAAATCCATAGCGTAAATGAAGATCTATATTGATGCTTACTGCGGTTGAACTTAATGCATAAGAAATTCGTACGGCGGAAGTAAATTACATGCTATAAAATACACCGTACTTTATATTGGGCCAACTAAAATAAATCTTTATGAACCAGAGTTTAATATTAGCGCATTAGACTAGACATTCAGCGTCAGTTAAAAGTTACGATGTTCGTTTTTTATTTGTGATTTCATTACAGTTGAGCCGTTAGCATTTCAAAGCGCTTCGCAAACGGCTGGCAGTTCCTCCCAAATATCGGATTTAAGCGTATCGTCGCAATCACATCAATCACAGTCAACGCAACAGTACTTCGTCGTTCGACCCCGCGACATAAAAACTGCTCAAGGTGAAAATGTTCTCCTTGAATGCCAAGTAGGAAATCGGCGTGGCCTTGTGCAGTGGAGTAAAGATGGCTTCTTACTCGGTGAGTCTGAAAATACCGATAATGATCCCATCTTTATAGATCAATCAATCTCATATATTCTAGATCCTCAAGCCCTAGAATGTTTTTGGATACTGTCCGTTACCAACAGTTATATGACGGTTTCTATGCTTTTTATCACTGTCTGAATATATTCGTGTGCTTTAAGCTGAGGTACATTGAGCACAATAACTAATATCATGTTTTGGTCGGCGAGTTGGTATTTACACTAGATTTGCTGCTAAATGATGTTAGGTCTATGAGAACAGTTTTGCCTAATGATTTTTTTCAACATAAGTACCACCTTAACTGCACCATGAACACTAGGTAAGTTTTTATTGCAGACAACTAAACAGGTGTTTGATACGTTAGATTCAGCTGCCCAGTGAGTGCGTTAATCACCTTGTTCCTACGAACGTAGGTTACCAAACATCAATACCAGGATTCCCGGGCCATTCGATGGATATAGACGAGGCCAGGGGCGTGTACAACCTCGTCATACGTAATGTGCAAATGGCGGACGAGGGGGTCTACCAGTGCCAGGTCGGGCCAGCTAGCAATGGAGTGACACCCATTCGCGCAGAAGCCAACTTACATGTGATACGTAAGTACAGTCATTCTTTATAGAGAGACGTAGAAAAATTTTAACGGTGGATTTGTTTACGGAATATGACTCTTTTACACAAAAACAGCAGATAGTACGCTCACTACCCTCGCAACAAACCTGTATACTTAATGGCAAAGTGTAAAGTTTTTACAGAACTATTTTAGATAAAAACATCCAAAAGTTCTATATGGAGAGTTTTTTTTCGCAAAATACACTTTATGTCAAGACACACGCGGCCGATCTAACTTTAGAGCCACTCGTTAAATTATTAAATGCGATGAATGGTCTCTTATAATCTCCCAGCACCACTACATTAAGGCAAGTAGCGAGAAGAGGGAACCAGTTTACGTGAAAAAAGTAACACTATTAAACAGAGCTTTTCAAGATCCCTTTTCAGAGTGCGTGTAATGCAAGACATCATGCAAATTAAAGTTCCTATTTCTTGCTTACCCCACTAGAAGGGGCCATTATCGTAAAATAACACACTCGTTCAGTAGGAGCTTCACTTCGGGGTTTCTCGCTTGTATTTAAATAGACCTAACAAAGCTCTCTTTGAGCTCGATAAACTCACCAGAGAAGTTGTTCATCAAAGAGACTCCGTTTGCTTCAATAAGTATACAACTTAAACAGTGGCAAGTCGCTTGTTTCTGAGTCAACTTGTCAAGGCAGAAGGAGATGCCTTCGCCGCTAGGACGTTCCCAATCTGCGACAACAAGGTTGACTGATGGATCAAGACACTGCGTTTCCATTTTTCAAGTCCCTCACCCCCTTGACTGCCACACCGTATTTTGTACTAAGCACGTTACAAAGGTTGACTGAATTTCCAGCTTTCACCCGCTCTTTCTCGACCTTCAGTGGAACTTTCTTTTCGCTCTCTTGCAATTTTTCGTGAACACTTGTTCTGCCACCATGATACCTTACCTCAGGCGCACCCAAACTTAAGACCCCTGAAAGAATTGCGTTTCAGTATAGCAGAAAGCGCATTACTGCTCGAGTGCCTGTGTGCCCATGTGCAGCGGTATCCGACCTAAGCCCTTTTTCTTTCACGTCTATTTCTGTCACCTATTATCCTCAAAATAGCTGGTCCCTCAAACATTTAACAAAGAACACCAAACGTCAGTAGTGGCAGTTCGTTGGTGTTCCTGGCTTTTTTTGTATCTTGTTATTCTCTATTCTATGTTTTGAATTTTGTAAAAAATAATCAGAAAAACCACATTTCTACATTCGGGATGCACACAGGACTTCGAGGTAGTAGGATGAAGCAGCAACTGTGCATCACACACACACGTGCGCATATATATTTTATGATGCGTTCGCTCTAGCGTGTTATTCAACCACTCGGCAGTGAACGAAAGCCCCTTAGATCTGTTCCCTTCGTTCCGGTCTTTGCTCAGCTTAAACGAACCACTGAGAGGGGCGCTGAGGAACGAGCGAGACCGGCGTGCGTTTCTCTGATGCCTGTTTCAGTAGACAGAAAAGACAGTTTGGCCTTGAGGCAGCAAAGGCCAACCCACCCAGGCCTTTCATTAGGGCACAGTTAAACATGCGGTTTAGACGACTTAGCTGCTCTCGGGTAGAAAGTTCTATGTGACTCGGTAGAATGAAGACAGGAAAGCGGAGGGCTAGTTGAAGGGCGCCACAAGATCCCAGCAGCTCTTAGATCCCTGAGTTCCCCCAAAAACCCTGGAACCGTTTTGACTTTGAAAGAAGCGACCCTACCCTACTTTTCGAGGGCGGCTTTTTGCCGCTAGCCAACTGTTGGAACCTTGACCAGCAGTTAACCCTATGTCTAAATACGCTGTAGACGGTCAATTACCACAGCTAGCGTCAAAACCAAGCGATAATCGTGTTTTAAGTACAGAGCCCTATCATTATTCTACTCTAGACATAAACACATGCATAGTGGATTTACTTGAACAAGCCCTAGACGTCACTAGGAGAATTACGAAAAGCTCATATAAAACTGTGTGATGAAAAAAACTGTGACTAATTTTATTGTTTCTCTAAGCAAGCTGTTTGTTTAACTGTAGTATTATGCCTAACGTAACAACGCTATGATGTGTTTTTTAACAATGGTACGTTAACGTGTATCATTTGCTGACGTGAAATTTCAGTACCGCCGGTGCGTTTGGATATTAACGGAAGTCGCGGCCCAGAAGTTGTATTTGCTGTGCGAGCGAATACTCGAGTGGTCCTCACTTGTACAGCGAAAAAGGCACGACCAGCAGCTCGTATTCGATGGTTCAGGAAATCGGTTGAACTTGTACCCGGTTAGTATTAAAAACAAACAGTAACCAAGCCTTTTGTTACACATTTGCGTCTAACAATCCAACATCGTAAACAGACTTCGCCGTTAGCGGCGAAGTAAAAAATGTACTACACACAGTGTCCACGGTATAAGAATAATCGTGGTTAGCAAATTAGTTTGGAAAAATCAGTATGTCTGAATCAAACGAGACTTTGTCCCTTTGGCCTTTTAAATAACATTATTGCTACTGTATTGTCCGGCGTATACACACTATAATTATTGGATCTCTGTTGTTAATGCAACAAGCCTCAAGTAAGAGCTGAACGCTACGAACTGCACTGAATTACTTCACCTTTAAGAGCCTTACCTAAAAAAACTGGATTTGTAGATCGTTTTTAGTGAACGTATGTGTATCTGTTCCCTGTAAGTGCTCAGGGATCGTCTTGGAGTGATAAACACGTTAGGGTAAGTAAAGATAGGAAAACGGAAAAAAGACAGGGCGATGAAAGGACTGCGAATTGAGGGAAATTCCATCAGCACACATTAAGGAACCTGAGTGGAGAAGAAAGTCCATCCAGGACAAGTAGCAATCAGCGGCTTAAGAGAAAGCGGCTTATGCAAAGCGGGACGGCCGCAGTATTAGGTACGGGTGAGAATTCCCCAGATCAGGGCCTAACGACATTTCTGTATATGACGACGCCCCGGCTCGACGAGCTGGTTCGTTCGCCAACAAACCAGGAGAGACAGTTTTCTTCCTATTCCAGTCGCATCTGGCACCTTGAACTCAATTCCTACCCTATTCGAGTGAGCGTACCCATAGACTCTCCATTTCTTGGTTCCTAATCCTGATTTTTCCCTCTTTTACACGCGTCCACTCACCGAGGTAAGCCTTCAATATCGTAGTTCATGGCATATTTTTTCTTTATTAATTTGTCGAAAAAATATGTAGCAAAGGGCATTGGCGTTGACGGCCAGTCGCTGGAATTTTTGTATGTCAGCTCGTTACACGATGTTTCGTCCCACTTGTCGTCTACAAACTTTCGCGCAGAGTCTACTTTCTCCGTAGCATGCCAACAGAACGTCAGCTAAGCATAAGTGTAACTAGGGGGTTTGCGTCATGGTAGTGAGAATTCTCTCGGTGGTGCTGGTAGACAAACCAACTTCCCGTGCATCCTGCCGAGTCGGTGGTTAGATTAGCTAGCTCGAAACCCGCCCTAGCCGCCCATCTTGTCGAATTTCCGGATTGTCGACGACATCGTGTAGACAGTCTAGCAGATGACAAGGCAGTCGCGATCAACCGAGGGTTTGGACCCCTTTCCAAAGCTTCGCCCCATCCAAGCAATCCTCCTCCGCTTTACATTACGAGGTCGTAATACCATCCCAGAATCTCCATTCCACTGCAACTACTACAACGGGCGGCGATGGAAAAGGACGTTCTGCGCGACTGCAGAAATTTGCATGAACTCATTTCCATACGGTTTTTAGAGATCGCTTGCCGGCTGTCTAACATCTAGGCGGCTGGCCAAGATAGTTTCAGAAGGAAGCTAGCTGTAGGGTAGAAGAAAATTGCTGCGACAGGTCAGATATAATAGCAGCGACTGAACAAGCATACGTACTAACGAATAGAGAAGTCTGGTACAGGTATTTGTAAGTACGGCCCCAAGTACTAGCAAAGGCAGCATAAAAGAAGAATGCCTGAGGCATTCTTTAGGGAAAGTTCGTACATGGCCCAAAAGGCCTAATCCTAAAGCACATCTGTTCTGTTCACTTGTTCCCAGAACAACATATGGTTGTTGGTTGATAGTGGCCGTTGACTAAACCCGAACCAGCCGTTGGCAGAACTGGCTAAATGCTTCAATCTCGTTACAAGACTCAGACCCAGACATACAAAAGGGTTAAAAGCGCTTGAGATTGTACTAAACATGGGCTATCTACAAGCCCACAAGCGAGAAATCTGTGTATGCATATGTATCTGAGCTAGTAGCGACCGTTAATGAAGGTAGTCAATAAAGTAGGACCTGGCATGACACTCTAACCCATACCGTCATCACGCCTTCGTGTCTGCATATCTGGATGTACCTATATGTATTATGTGGTAACAAATACATACGGGTATACATGCTGACCCAGCTTTTGTACTTCTGGAGTTAGTTAATAAGACCAAGACTATAACTTTGAATTTAGCTTTGGCCTGTTTTACACTATGGATAGAGGTAATTATAGCAGATGTCCTCTAGTCACTTAGTGTTTTATTAGCCAGGCCATAAACGTATACGTCAATGCTAATGACGGTAATAGTCACAGAATACTAGGTTTTCTCAAAAAAAAAGACATAACAATGCAATTTCAGAAAATGAAAATATAGTATTTTTTCTAGCAAAGTCATAGTATTGAATTGGGTACCCACTGGGCCAGTTGGTTCATTGATTGATCCCGAGGACACCATCTTGCGAAATTCCGCTGCTGGCGCGTGACACCTTTGAATCGTGCCGTAGCAAATGCACGTCGAGTTTCGTATTCGCAGCTACCTTAGTATTGGTCAGACAGTTATCCACGTGCACGGAACAAACGCGTTCGGATTTGACTCCAAGATTCATGTATCCCTTGACACCGTATTATTGCAACGTGTTATCTTTAGCTTTAGAAGTGAAATAAGCTGTTTGAGTGAGGCAATCTAGTTTTATGGATTGCACATATGTTTGAGTCAAACAAAGTCAATGCCTTTTTAATCCTTGCTAAATCCCTATATAGGTTTGTAAACCATACGGCCTACATGGGCACTTTATTTAATAACGCCCCTTAGAGCCCCCGGTAACAACACGTAAAAGCTGTTCCTGCTTGTTCTAATAAGATCATAATCCACATCTAGTCGCTTAGCCTTCACACGTCTTGGCTCGGTTCGATCTCTGTGCGACGTTACTGCCTTAAAGTTTTAGAGCCACTGACGCCAACTGCTACAACAAGAAGGTGCCAAATATCGACCATTTTCGCTAGCTTATATGCCAGAGCGCTGTTGTCCAGTTGTTCCGCCTACTTGTCGAATAGATAAAAGACGTCAGCTGCTGTACAGGGGTACTAATAGTAAGTGATGTGGCCAGCGGGAGCATGTCCGCACTTAACCGCAGACACGCACACACACATACATGCACTTCACACGCAACTTCATGGAGTATTATTTTTCAAAAAAAAAAAAACTGCAGCAAAGTGAACAATAGCGCGGTATCTGGCATTCCGTATTCTGGTATTCGGTATTGGTACGTTCCATTTATTGAAATGTTATGTATTTAATCGTATTGCGTTCTTTTCCGTCTTATAGAAGCGGCCCGCACATTGACGATCGAGGAGACCGAACGTCGAGTAACAACAGTGTCTTCCATCACGCTATGGCCAAGCCAGTCGGTGCTCAATGATCAGTATACGTGTGAGGCGCTCCATCCAGCGTTGCAGCCAAATGGCAGCGGTAGCGGAAATACTAATACGGCTGGCAAACATATGAAGATCACAGCTCTCGTTCGTGTAATGAGTACGTATTGTGAGGACGTTGGTTTGGTTGTTGATATGCAAAATACAATGAACTAGGAAACTATGTAAAATGATAATCAAATTAGATCTAGAACGCTCAGTACACAATGCACTCCGGCCAAAAAAAAAATCGATAAAGAGATATTATATAAACATGCTTAATGCCCGGCTCTCGGCCTGGAGTGCTCCAAAATTTCAGCCTCTGAATATACTTCCAACGTTATCACAAATTTTATAGGATGGGCGTGTTCGGCGTTATAATTACAACAACCCTTCAATGTTTATGTTGACCATCAATAATTATACTTACTCAATTTCGAGCACACACAATTTATCATATCAACCAGTCTTAAACACTGTTATTATATGACATATACGAAGACTCGTACCTTCAGAAGATCACGCTAGCCTCAGCTTCTTTTGTAGTTAGCAAATCTGACCTAAATATCTGGGTTGGCTATTGCTACGCAACGGTAATTTGCGCAAATGCATCGTCACGATGAAAAATCCCATAAAAAACCGCTCGACGGCGAAAAAAAATCCATACAAGTATACTTTATAACTTTGTATCGAGTGAATCAGCTGGAGAATAGTCCATGCACATATTATTAACTACAGTTCTAATTGTGGAAAAAAAGGTAGAATTAACATAAAAAAGAGACAATAAATAACTTGTTTTCTCCACAAATGATAAGAATAATGAGATTGTGCTAAATTATAGACATGATTTAATTTATTCAAGATAATGATGCGTATTGTTATTAACAAAATGATCTGAGCTTTTTGTCATACACTGGAGAATCCTACCCTTATCTGACCGATCAGGAACCAAGCAATGCTGCTTATATTTATATTATTATTTACTTTTATAGACATAAAAGATTCAGGCGTACTGTGGTTGAGCCACTTTTCAGCCGCTGTCAGATTATAGAAAACGATTATTAATGATTTCTATGACAGCCTGACAAAAGTACTCATCTCGATGTTTTCACTTTTTTCGAAATAGTAAGAATGCTAAGCTTTCTTTGATAATATGTTAAACATTGACTTCGATGCACACAATTAAAGAGAAGTGAACTTTAAACTAGTTCATAGTAAGGAGGGCAATAACCTGCTGGGAACTCGTGGACTCCAGGTGTACATTTTACGTAAGTAATCTGTTTGTCTCTATATATGCTGCGCATCGTATGGTGTTCATTGACAAAAGAAGGAACAGCTTCTCTAGTTGTTTCTTCTTTTCTTTAATCTAATCCTATGTCACCTTGTTCAGGATCGTATTCCGCTACTGATGAGACGCCTCTTTTCCAACGAATATATCCTTCCTTCCTTTGCCTTTCTTGTCGCTCAGAAGTAACGAGAATATGGGCTTGGCCTGCTCTTGTACTTTAATCAATGGCTGGCAGATAAGCTATAGTTTGCTGCGCGTATCCGTATATTCAAAGCATATTCGTATATCAAAGCACTCGCTGCTCCCGCAAGATCTGTGGAGCTATTACCTCAGAAAGATCCGCATTATCAAAAGCAACAACCTATGTCCTCTGCGAGGCTACTTCCAGCACGAATGGTTTCTAAGAATGAAGTATGTACCACGACGATCTGCATCCCTTTTATTAATCTGCTCACTTTACGTATGTCGCGCCATAATCAGTGTAAATCAGGGATTAACGCGGTACACAAAAGCGTCCCGGTGAAACTTGCTTGGATCATTAGTGCGGTCAGGATGCATAATATTGAGACGGACAGGATTGAAGTGTATCAAGTCTTCTATCATACTGTTACTGATATGGACGAGATTTCGCCCTCGCTAGAAACCGCTAAACATCTGATCGATGCTTGAAGGCGGCGTGAGGCGACATCACAGCGGCGATTAGCGTACTGTCGTTTGATCACTGGCTGATACATAGCACTGCTATGGCTATAATGGCAGCAACAACTCGATACCTGGTTGCAAGCACCTCAAGCTGAAGCTAGGGATCCCGTCGACTTCTTATAAAATATACCCCCAAACAAGCCCTTTGCCCCTGGTAGAAGAACGCACGTAGCACGGAGTTTCCTTTCTTCTAGACCTTCGTTTTTTTATTCTGTACTTCTTCTATTCAACTGGGTAGTGGTTTTATGGTAGGTCATATTTCCACTTCTTGTACGTTTTCGCTTTTTGTCCCTGATAAATCGGCCCATGTTGTCCTGCTGCCCAGTAGACAATTTTAACCATGCTGTGTATCATATTCCAACTGAGTCAAAGGACTCAATGCAACGGGTTACGCTATACAAGCTACACAGGGAACATCACGTTGGTTTCAGGGGCCTTTTCACTGTCCTGCCTTCAGTACGCTGCATCTTATTGTGAAATGTACCACCGTTGGCAACAAGTGGTGGTAACAAAATTAAAAGCGACAGAGCTGTCCTTTCCCAAATCGGGACTGTTCACCCCCCAATTTAACTGGCCGTTGGTACACACCATATACCGGCCTTTAACTATTAAGGGCGTGCTCGTGTAGAAATCGCAGTGAAAAAAATTTACGTTATCCAATCCCGTGCTGTTTCGCCTCTGCTCTACTTCTGTATTGAAGACGTTAACAACGATCATTTTACGAGAGACAAATTTTGGTTTGACAATAGAAATAACATAAACATTGCCTTTAGTACGATTCGATCAAAGCGGATGATAAATGCTTGTCTGAATATACACATCTTTTGAACAAAATACTGAAAATGTGGTTTATTCAATATGAAATGCGCTAGCACGTTTACACTGAGTTTTATTTTCCTATACTATGCACACACATAATAGCATCCTAAACGGTTCCTGGGACCTAGGAAGCGATGAGTTTTTTTGTTACGCTATCTGAACATACTTTCATTAACAGTGAAGGGCTAAGCCGTTGAGTAGAGACTGACAAATTGTTGGCTAGAGGCTTATCCAAGCCGCTTCTCAACTAGCAACTACCTATTTTCGTAGTCGTTACATTCGATCACCCCTACTAGCTGTACCGTGCCCACGCAGCATTCGCGTGTCCCCCCTGCGGCTACGTTGAATACGTGTCACGTTCAATATCGTGTTTGAAATACATGCATACTTCAATGAAGTTGCTACTCGATTCAATAGAAACGTGTCCCAAAATATCGGGAAATCGTTTTATATGACTGTAAATATATTTATGGTTGATAAGTCTATACGAGATGCAGAAGAAAGGTGGAAGAATGGGACGTTGGATGGATCGTCCGTTTCCGTCGCGGCTTCTGGACAAATGTGTCTCTAATAGAGTAAGGAGCTGCTTTTAAAAATTGGTCAGATGGAATTTCATCGTATGATGCTAATAAAATTTGTTTCGTAGTTTTCTAGAAGATCTCACGAGATATCACATTCGTATGTCTCATTCTCTGCCTTGCCACGAGAACGAGAGTTAATTTTCAGGCCTGTTTTTAGATGGGTCTAACGAAGTGGGGATTGTCACACCTAGAGTCTGTCATATTACCATGGCCCAGGTATTTTGACCTGCTTATGTACTGTTTGGCTTGGCATTACGATCGGCAAATACATTTACAAATGATGCCTCAGCAAGTTTCAATTCAGTAACATAGCTATGAGCATATTATAGAAATCAATAGGCTGCTCTGATAGTCATATAATTATTTCAACTGTCTCCTTCGTTCGTCGTCATAGATGCGGAAAAGGATCTTTCTAACTGGCCATCACATATATACCTAAATCATCAACTATAACTATAATGGTAGCTATGATTACTAGAAGGAAAATAACAACGCTGGGAGACCATAGGCTATGCACGACAGCACGGTAGAATTGACACTATAGAACACACGGGAACGACACGGTAGAATTGACGATATACACATCTGAATAAATCATGTAAACTTGGCCTCAGCGAATGCCGAAAATCGTTTTAAAAGCAGCCGTCAATGTTAGCTATTGTATTACTGCACACGATCGTCGTTTTCGAAAAATTCTTCTGATTTGCGGACAATTATGATTTTGTAACTCGATTTTGTTCGTCAATTCAGTAGTGAAAGTGATATTGTAGGACCTACTGTAGTGTGTGTGTGTGATTGACCTAATTTTCACTGAGTGCCTAATGATAATAGCCCCGTAATAATAAAGATATTTCGTTAGATAAATGCATTACATGTCAAAAACCCACCTTGCACTATCACGCGCGTAGAAACCAATGCGGCACTATCCTATGATCAATTTTTACAAACTTTTTTAAACGATACTTATTATATGCTCGGCACTATCTGCGTGCGCCTGTGCGGGAAGGCCTTTAATAACAACCAGCTTTGAAGGCGCTTCAAGAGGTGTCTGTAAATTACTGGTGCTAACTCTCGGCGGGGTTGCTGATAGATCAGTCAAAAGCGTATATTTTATTTTTTTTCTCTAGTAACGAAAGTTCGTTTCATATATACTTAATATTCTGCTCATTTTGCACGGAAAAGAGTCGCACATTTAGCTTCAGGATAAATTTATAGCGTACCCTATGTCACTGGGCGAACATCATTTTTCAGCGGCCCCAAACTCTACTCGAATTGAAGGTTACATAGAAGGGACGCCTGTCCGAGAAGGTGACGTGCTGAATCTTGTGTGCCGGTCACGAGGGGGCAACCCTCCACCAAATCTTCTCTGGCTTCGTGACGGCATATCACTTCCTCCGGAAATCATCACGCAACGCACAAAAGGTAGGCCTATTACAGTAGCAATTTTTATATTTGTCTGTGGGCGTAAATTATCTCTATAAATCGTAACGTTTTAGTTGTTCACGCCCGTGATAAATACACCTACATACACTCGAACCACGACTGGCTGGCAGGGTGTAGATATTATGTAACATCATTATGCTACTCAAAGACTCAGGCCACTAATGAGCTTCAGGGTCGGACCTGCTAATGTGTTTATAGCATTGCTCGAGCGCCATGCACGTAGACGCTTTCGATCGGCTCAGTATTTGGCGTTTCATACTGATAAGCGCCATGTCACAATATAATCATGGAATGTTTACGCTGTAAAGCAAATGTGCATACATATGATTAGGCACGTATTATCGTGCGGATATCTAAAAGCGTCACCTATTTGCGCGCGTTTGAATAGCCCTTAGTGGCAGCAGTGTATGCAGAAAAAATGCGCGGGTGCGATGATCCATGCCCGCCAGTGGATAGATACCAGTGTTTAAGAAAAGGGAGCATCGAGTTTCGGTTATTCCTTATTGTTATTTGTGTGTTGTCATGCAAGGCTCAAAAATATGATCACCTAAGTAGTTATTGCATAGCGTAGGCTCTATTGTTGATTTTGGGAAATAAAGAACCTTCATATAATATGAAGTTAGCTTTGAAATGACTATTTAATTTCCATCTTAAATGCATGTACAACTATGGTTGGCATCAATGTGTACCCCGCCTAAAAAGCTAGACTTGTTTACACGACTTGCTCTAGATGAATACACAGTAGTACTCAGCCGTCGGAAACATTGAAGTTTACTTATGAAACAGTTTATAAAGCTCTTGTCTAGAACTCGTCCTTAATATTTGAAAATCTTACAAGAAAACCCAAATAAGATTGTTTTTTTAACTACACAATGCGAAAATGACCCCAAATTATAGTTAATAACAAGTTGTGTCATTAAAAGAGAAGCACTCAGATAACACTTCAATGCAATTTTGAGCTCCTCAAGCCATCTATGGCGTGAAGAGCTCATCTATGTATTAATTAGCTTGCCAGGCTATCTTCAAACAAAAGTCGATCTCAAACGATACTCAAATTGCTGCCCTTTACCTCTTTATCTTTCATTGAAGAAAAGTTTTACGGTACCATTTTGTTTTCAAGTACATGGAAGCTAATAGGCAGTATTTCGCTATTTTAGGTTTCGACATACGGACACACATATGACAGAAACTTTTAAAGAGCCAGCAAAACTTTACACTATTAAAGAGTATGTTTGTCACAGAGTTAGTACAGAGCCACTTAGAATAAAGAAAGGAAGATAGCCTTCTGGGCAAAGCAAAAAAGACGCCTTCCCATGCATGGATTGGAAGCTCAGTTTAATTATTTAGCCGTGTTTCTTTGGGTAATTGCATGGCATCTAGGCAACCGGATATCTGAGAGCACTCTTGACCTGGAACTGCGGGCTACAGATCATGGCGCAGAAATTCAATGTCGGCCCGAGCTCAGCGTGTCGGGGCAAAGCTCGTCGCCCCAAGTTAGCTCAGTGGGAAGTCCTTACAATGGTACGGGCCTTGAGGCGTCAGTACGACTCACTGTGTATTGTAAGTAGCTTTTTTCATGGATGAAAAAATTTGCGATGATTTTTTAGATAATTCTAGTCACCTTTCATTCTCTTTATTACCACAGAATATTTACGTTTTGTCACAATAAATTCTATCCTCCTCGTGGCGCGTCCACGCCTTCCGGAAAAGGACGCTATAATGTAAGATTTCTTTTTCAACCTTGTCATCGATGAAAACGACCATATCCAAGTTCTATATCTAATCTGAAACCACAGTATAGCTGAAACGAATCTCCCGCCAATTATAGATCCCGCTACCTAACATATGACAGGTTATAACTTCGAAAAAAGCTCTGTCTTGAAATGTGAAATTGTTTATATACGGCCTTGAATGTGAACGTGGCCGCGCGCGCAGATAACGGCAATGGGATTTTTAGAACGCTGATTGGTTTCGTGAAATCTTCAACGAAATGAGGAATTCCACACGAAAAGGACACGTACTAACGACATCTCCTTTCTCATAAGTCGTAAACAAGCGTGCTGATGGGGTCCCGCGAATTTCAAACGCGATGAAATACTGGCGATAGTTGTCTTTTCGCCAGTGTTATCAATTAGCTAATCTACGACACGTTCTTGTTTTGGTGCAAAGAATGGCGGCACAGTGAGCAATAGTCGTCCGACACTGCTGGCTCGGCGTTAGAAGCCGATCAACAAACAGCTGTAATGTTTTGCTAATGCCTTCCACACACGGTCGCGTGTCCCCGTTTCAGGTAGCAGCACGTCGATGTAATTTTACAAATTGCGAACGAAATTGGCCCAATGAGCGGAGGCGTACTTACCAGCCAACGGCTGTAATTTACACTCTCATGGACCATGTAGAGACGAACATAGATAGCATGTATCAACGTTTTCAAACGACATACTTCAACATTTCAGTCAGGCCTTTCAAGAGCGTCGATTGATGCGGTTTATCTTCCGTTCTGAGGCGTTAAAATTGCTACACAGAGGCAAGTAGCAACGCTGGTCACTGACTGGAAATGCGCGCTGTTAGGTTTGTCGACATTTCACCATTGAGCAATGGTTACTGCAGCATTATGTTACCGTACCGTTTCGTGTGTCTGAGTAAAACCCATCTGAAATAATGCCTAACAGCTTAAATACTGGAGCCTGAAAAAGGACATAGCAGAGTATTTAGGATCTACTAGATATGTATTATCTAACTGCTGTCACCGATTTCGATATAAAAAGCTGTTCCAAATCGCTACGTGGTGAAGAATACGGTCCACAAAATATTGACTTTACAAGCTAGTTTGTACATTCGGCCTATCGTATACTGACCGAGCTTGCAACTACGATCTTCCATTGGTTTCCGAACGAATAACGTACTTCGACGAACTGTATGAAAAGAAAATCGGGAAAAGAATCTAAGTCAAGTAGTAGTTGCTTGCGTTCGACTATCCCGCAGATGAGCTGCCTACCGCCATTTTCAGATAAAGTACATTTGCATTGTAAATCGGTGGCCTGAATCAGTGTAGCGGGCTTAGAGTACGTATTAAAACCAGGTTTGCCTCCCGGAGTTGAATGGAGGGAACGTGAAAAACCGGAAATAAGCACTTACTCATTATCGGGCTCACCACTATACACCGTCGTTTCTTTGCCACCAAGACCACGTCTTTGCTTCTTAGGTTAGGATAAAGCATATAGGTTAATGTAACAATATTACAATCGTCTAAATTGCTTGTCACCATATCCATTTTACCTTCTTGGAACGAAGAGGTAAAACGGGCCACACACAGGAAGTACATTGGTTATTGACGCATCTCCAATGACGAACGTTTCTTATCGATTCCATAACAGTACTATACCGTTATATTAAATTTACTGTAAATATCGGCACACAAAACCATGTTTTGCGTAGCGTTAACCCGGATGATTATTTTTAACGCAGAAAGTATCCGGCCAAATTGCCTTTAGTTTGTACGATCTGACTCGGTCAATATTAAAATGAGTGCCAGTGATAATAACTTTATTTCTTATAATAATAATAAAAACAGTTTATATAGTTATGTTACATTTTAGCCTAATGGTTTTGTGGAAGTACTTCGATGATCTCATTATTTACACACCTATTTGCAAAACCAACGCGGGGGGAAAATTAACTCAGTTTAATTTGTGTCAAATTTATGATCTATAACCATACAAAAAACGGTTCCTTGTAACTAAAGTAAAGCAAAAATATATTATAAATACGCAGAGCAAACATGAAAATTATTTTTAGATTGAACTTGACGAATTTCACTTTTGTAATCCCTCCAATAGCCGTACGTTTTGAGCAGACCTTTACACATAAAGAACTAAACTTAGATTTTTCCTACTTTTAAATGACATTTAAAGAACTAATTTTTCAGAGTACATTCTTCAATTATATTAGAATATCCAGAAAACTCCAAAGCGATCCGTGAATTAAAACGGATGAAAAAATTGACTGACTATTTTTGCGCACAATAGTCTAGGCAATAACACCTGTTCGTCCGTTTTCTCTCTGATCACCTTTCTGAGCGCTTTTTTGCGAAGTGCTTTCAAATATCGTTGCAAATTATCAAGGGCAACGAAAAAACCAATAAAGTTTGATATATGCGTCCCGAAATCAACAAAAAGGTAGGCGTTAGTCTTTTGCATGGGGATTCTTCATGCCTAAGCCAGTATTGAAAGTGGTGCAACGTTTTAGCTAAATGCTAATAAAGCCGCAACGTTAAAGCTCTAGAGCTCGATCCCACTGCTCTGCATGGAGTCTAGTTTTAAAAGTCGATCTCATACCACGCAAGTGGTATTGTGATCGAGATGACCTGGTAGATTCCTGCAATTTGAATAGGCCCCTGGACACACCGAAAAGCATAACAACAGTCGTTATAATTGTGGTCACAGACTGCTATCGTGATGCTTAAGCTAAAATCGTTCCTTCAAGCATCTTTACCTCTTTTTTATTTACATAAATTAATGGCACACGCTACTCAGCCAGGAGCTATACACAGGGAAACGCTCGTTATAGTTGTATCTAAGAGCCATACCTGTTATGCTACAATGTCAATATTTCATAAGATCGTTGAAGTACTCTGATTTGCCGAGCAAATATTTACACCGTCTCGTAACCTCTGCTAAATATGTACATTTTTGGTTTGTTCATTTTCCTTTTTTAAAACGAACGTTATTTGCATAACTTTTTTCCTGAATGAAAGTGACTGCAGCATAACGTGTTAACGTTTTAGCTTCCTGAAAGACAAAGTGTACTTTCATCCGACAATGTCACATTTAGTCTGTTCTGTTTTCTAAATGATAAGGAATAGGCAGAAGCTGTGGATGCGTTGTCTCACATGACAGACGTCCGCTTTTCAGTTTACTTCCGTAATGTTACAGCCAAACAAGAGCGTATACAGTTAACCTACGAAACTTTTATGTCAAGAGGCAATCGTAAAGTGCTAAGAATTATTCGATCGCAGTAAAATGTAGTGTCACACCTTGGGAAAAGCAAATAGCTCGTTCGAAACTCAAAAGCCGCAATGCTCTAGAAGGGGGAATAAGTGGGGCCACATCTCCCAAAGATGCCGTCTGTATAATACAATCAACAAAACTTTTTATTAAAATAAATTCTGACATTTAAAAAAAAATCGAAGTAATACCCTCAACACCTTGCTCGACTTACTTCTTCTAGTTATTTGGTATCGTGGGTCCCACGCATTACGTTTATTTACTTATAACTAAATGTCGATGTACGCCGTAGAGGTGTTGAAAGCGAACTACTAGGAAGGCAGTGCGACATCACGCTTCTTTGTTTTCTTCTTTCCTCCCGGGCCGTCTTGGCTAAAAGCAGGACCCATATACCTTCGCTTTTTTTTGGTGCAATGAATAGTCAAAGACAAGAGCATTTATAAGGAAAGCTACCTTTTCGATGCTGCCATGCACACTAGCTGCTTTTGCAGGATTCCCGGTTTCCCAATGTCAATAGGTATGATATACGAACGGAGACGATAAGGTCTACAACATGTAGCTATTTAAAGTGATACCTCTACATGAGTTATTCTAACAATGGCGGAGCTGCCCTGGACACTTAGCTAATGGGAAACCGACAGTGGCGTGAACGTACTCACATTGGGGCAAATTTTCTGAGAGTGCTGTAGCATAGCCGCCGGCTAGGCTCGACTAGGACGGGGAAACAACTTAAAGGGGAGAAGAATAACGGCAAAGTCTTGCCAGGAGTAGCAAACAGCTAGTTGTAGCCTAGTTGCTGGAGCGAGGCTTGATTCAAGCGACTGGTACTATCGGTATCGAGAACTACTAATAATGATCAAGAGAGAAAAACCAAGTGCCAACGCGGTCCAATTACACGATGTGTTGATTGCTCATCTGTGCGGATACCTGATGTCTAAAGCGGATTCCAGGTTGGTACGATGACCACACTGGTAACGTCCTTATTCCGCACACTGCGAGAAAACTTGAGATAATTTCGATATGCGGATTTGCTTGCAGTTTTTCGTAGTACAGCCCTTTACAGTTTATTGCAACTCTTTGTCCTGCAACCGATTGCCGGATTTTTTATGCATCGTCTAGGCTACATACTGTGTCCATTGCACCACGGATGTTAAGCCAAATCTTATGAGCGTCTGTTGGATTCATTAGCTTCTGAATAAAAGTGCTGTGCGGCGACCACTATCAGTTGCCGATTAGAGGCATAAACATATTTGGATTCTCTTTTAGACGCAAACATATACATAGAATGCCTAAACACACACAACTGCCATTGTCCGGAGACCTATTTTCGTCACCCAGGTAGCTGTCTGCTTCTATCTCCGACCGGCATACACCCACCTCGTGCCTGCTCATGTAACTGTTTCCGGCTTGTTTGTACCCACGGCCAAAGTACGATATAATCTGGAAGCGAACATTTTCGATAGCCTACTTGTCCGATAAAAGCATCATAGAGCCATAGAACAATATGTTGAAGTAGTGTGTAGGTGAATTAGACACATTAAAGTAATCCCGTTCTAAATCGAAAGGGATGTTTAATCTAGACCATAAGAAATGCAACGCTTTTTATAATATAACCGGAAATTGAAAAGCGTTTAGAGTGGTTGCTACACCGACGATAAACGTTTAAAAGGCCTGTTAGTTTCAGTGAAGTAAATTTCAAAAACCAGCTTGACCGGAATCATCGGGGTGAACTCGGTGCCTGGCTGTACCTTATAATATAAAAGTATTGCTTATTCATTGAAATAACAGCGGAAGGCTGACCGAGGAAGAGTCCGAAAAAATAAATACAAGTACGATAGACTAATGTCGTTCTCAGAAAAAGTTTTCTTGGGTGACGTACAGAATTAGCGCTAGCTACCTACGGTGTTCGTATAGTTATTGTATGCTTTTCCCCATCATTTTTCTCAATATTGGAATTCGTTTGTGAGTAAAAGACTGTGTGAACGGAAATGGTCTGAGAATGAGTCTATGAATACTTAGGTTACAAGCAGCTGGAAAGCGATCTTGGATTCACGCAGACCTAGGATGGCCTAGGTGATAAAGGAAGTCAGAGGCGGCCATAGTCGCAAGTCGAAGGAAGGTAATGTCACAAACAAGTCGTGTGTTTTGTAATGCAGGAGATCCGGTGCAATATAAGGAGGACATTATTGGATCTAATTAAGAAAGCCTCATGTGGACGCTGCGCATACAGAGAAAATAAAGCACGCTTAAAATAAATCGATTTTTGTTACTTTGCCACATTGGGTTCTATGCTCGATTTCTCCTTGTAACATGCTCTTCAAAACTAGCTCACTTGACGGTAAAGGTATGAGGAAGAGCCGTAGACAGAATCCACTTCCGCATCATATACTTTGCTCACGTATTCCAACGTATTCACGTAATTTGACAGCTCGAAATTGTATTTTTATGCTTATATTGGCGGCTTGGAAAATCCTCTATGAGATAAAAATTGGCGGAAGCAGTGTCTCTTCCAACGTTCGTACGGTGTCGGCAATCAGAATCTCCCCAAGAAAATGCTACGCAGGCACCGATCAAGAAAGTTAGTGCAAACGAGCTCTGGTGATAAAATGTATGAATACATAAGCGTTTCTGAACGGCGGTGGCCCAGCTAATGAACAAACTGTGCTTGAACGCTAAGTTCAGGACCTCGCAGGTTCAAGTACGCCGACGCGTGTGTGCGCACATTAAGTTCCTCAATGAATAATGATACCTGAGAGTTTCGTGTGTATATAGTCTATATCACTTCTATCGATGATAATGCTGCCAATAGGAATAACCTAGGAACTCCATTGTGCCCCTATGCCTACAGTTATGTCAATTTCGATCTCTCATAAGCGATATAGTCTATATTAGTGATGATTTATCTCTATTAATTGTTGTGTCCATCGGGACCGGACTTTGTTTTTTAAAAAGTTGTTTCGATGAACGTCTGTTACTCGTCGGCCGAGGGTCGACCTAAACCCGAGTGAAAAGACCAACATATAACATATGGGTGCACTAATGGTTTTAACATGAGGCCATTCCGCAGAAGGCGCGCGATAATACCTTCAGCTTTTTAGAAAATATACCTTCAATTGTTCCAGATTTCTCCGCTCACTTGTAGGTTTACCAGGTAAATATCGTCTATAGCCGCTGAGTACACCACGATATCTGTGGCATCCATTAATCTATCTATCTAATTTTTAATGGCTATTTCTCTTCTTTTAGTTGCACCTCGTAAGGTGCTTATCAGCGGTACGAGTGAAGTAAGGCGAGGTAGTGAAGCCAACCTCCACTGCGCAGCGTCTCCTTCAAATCCTGCGGTAACCCTCGAATGGACAATCGACGGGATACCCGTTGAAGCCGAACCACGGACTGCGCTTGTTACACAAATGGACAAAGGCTACATTGCATCTAGCAACCTGACAATTCAAACCGACCCGTCAAGTGTAAGTACTCTTGCGCATCGATTAGGTCCGGGTTTTAAGGTTCATCAGAGCTCATTAGTGGTTATTACAGTGTTGTCCTGTTTTTTTATCAGATGAAAGCAATTTGCAACCTTATGAAGAAAAAATACAAATAAATTATCGTACATTTTTCAAAATAGTGATCCTTCACTTGTAACGATGTGCATTCTGGGCGTATTTAATTCTATATTATCATACTTGTCGGTACCACTATTAAAAATAATGAGGAAATCATATTCCTTTAATTAGGTCGAAACGCTCTATACCTACTGAAACTGAACAGGCTTTTATATAACAGCTGTGACGAAGTGTGACCGCAGACTGAACCAGAAGCGATCCCTCGGTCCACGTTTCATAGGTTGCATACGTTCAGTAATCAGTGTAAAGAAAAATTTTAGATTTCACATAATTCAAGCGGTAAATTTATCAAAGTCCAGTATAAGCAAACTATGTGAGACACAGCACACGATTTTCTTGTGGCCTCTGTAGCCTACACGTAGGCCTTTTTTGCGTTGTCTAAACGTTACCAACTTGTCCTTTGGTCCTTTTTTTTTTGTTTTACAAAAAAGAAACCATATAAACGAGCCAGAGCAAAACTCTGTCCAGCATAAGACGCACATACCTTAAACCAAATCGGTTCTGTCGTTTCGGAAAAGCGCTGAATGTAGCATTGGAGTTGATACGAAGAATCACTGAATTAATAGTTTCATCATTAGGCGAGCGAGTGACGTATAAACTTCTTGTGGTTTTTGCATAAGGACCCGGCTGTGATTACTCACTGGTGGCTCATGTTATGTAGATAGACGGAGACGGCTAAACAGTTCGTCGGATGGCCACTCTCTCTGTACAGAACTGTGTGTCATGAAGACAGATGGTGGTATAGATATATAGTATATAGTTTAGTACCATAAGGCTCGCAGATGGCATAGAGACAAAGAGATTGGGTAGCATCATGAAGCTGAGCCATTGCTTCGACAAGCGTGGTTCCTTTGTCGGAGAGATCAAGGAAAAAGTCGTAAAAATATGACTCCCCTAGGAACAATTAACATTGTGCTATACAGCCTTATTAATTTCTCGGATTTATCAACTTGTCTTTATCCTTTTTGGCTATTGTTTAGTTCCCAGGTAATAAAATTTTTTCCGAATGAGGGAACTGTGTGTGGAACGTGCTCTTGTCTGCACCATTCTTTATTTAATAGGCAAATCTAGTTTAACGCTTTAACGTCCGCAATGCGTTGTCGGTTCCACTGTCATATGAATCTGTGACCAGGACTAGTCTTTCGAGCAGAAGACTCTGTTGCCTATTCACAGGGCTTGCCTGCTGCATGGTAATGCACAGCATTGCTAATAACTTAATATTGTTAGTAATCTTGGATACTTTAGATGACCTCTGTATGTGTGTAAGTGTACGGTTCGGAGTTTCCGATCGATGAGGCCACCGTGATGACTCGAGCTGGTTGTATAAATGGCCTCAGCGCGGTATGGGACACTGTGTAATGATCGCGATCTTCGATATATAAAAATAGTCATGATTGCAGGATATTAAACACGGAACGATTATGTTCTAAGTGTGTTATAAACAATGTGATTCTACTCAGAGTTGGACAGCGAAGTAGATAGACGTTAGATCTAACAAAACTTAAGTCGATCTCGTATTTTACAGGAACGAACCGTTCGCATTATTGATTGTCATGCTCGGAGCAAAGATCTAAAGGGCAGTCCGTATGGTAGACATAGGCTCAACGTTACATGTAAGTATATTTGTCCGTGATGAGAAATTATTTCATTTAAGCCGCTCAAAATTGGACAGCGAACGCGTAGAGGGAAAGGGGCCTTACATATTCGTTTTGTTAGGTGCACAAAAAACAAGCAATTCCTATAAGTTGTGACGTGGTGGTAATTACCGAAATTCATGTTTGTAGAATGTGATTTGTATAACTTTACTACTGCGGACAGGTAGGCGGGCGGAGTGCCGGCGTACAGTTACTAGATTTCAACTTCTATCCTCAACTGAGAATCAATGAAAATTATCTAAGCTTTCAATTTTATCGTCACACGTAGTTGTGTCTAACCTAATTTTGTTCTGGCTATATTTATTTGGAATTGGCTCGGGAATGCCACAGATATTGCTTACAGTTATTGGTATTAGATTTCTGTCGGTCACCCCTTTAGGAGTAAACTCTAAGATTATAGCAATAAAAATGTATTGCAAAAACGATGTTAAAATGTCTACGTCTAATTTGAATACTGTTTTTTGAAGGTACCCACGCGTGTAATGTTCATGATTTCAGTTCTGGGTTTAGATATCTAGTTTTATTGTTAGCTGGGATTATTTGGATACGCATTCAAACAACCCAGCTACTTTGAAACTAACCTTTGATATACTTATAACATCTGTATTATGCCAAAACCTATTCCAATCACTAAAAAGCGGAAATTGATACTGAAATATTAAGAGTTTAATCGGTGTAAAGTGAAGGAGACTCACAGCCTTCTTAATTATTATTTATAGAAATCCTACCATCAGCTAATACATCGCTACCAACTTCACCTTTGATCAGCCGTGTTAGCAGTGACCTGTATACGCATTGTTTCGATATGCGGTGATATTGCGTACATGGAACAAAAACGGGTAACTAAGCTGTTTAAGGTTGAAGTTCGGTCATGTAGTCGATGCTAGGTCTTAAGGCTTGCCCTTCTTCGTATAATGTCCTAAAAAGCTTTGTTTATTGATTCGTTTCACATCACGGCACGGGTCAAAACTAAATTGATTGGGGTGAAAGGGGAGATAAAAGAAAGGTTTCGCGCTTGACGACCGAGGAAGAAAAGTCAGTTGTGTCCTGAACCGTTGCGGCAAGATCCCAATCACTTTCCAGGCAAAGATATCAATCCTTCCTGTACCAACTGGAGGTCGAGAGTATGCGTGTGTTGGTACAAGTAGTCTATAACAGATCGGCTGCGTAATTGTATGCAAAACGGCCTTAAACGTTCTTTGTTCATGAAAAGCGTTCAAACACTTCTTTTCTCATGTGAGAAGTTAATGTAACTTTGTACCTGAAGCCGCATCAAGGCCGAAAACCTGTTATCTCGTCTACCTTTTAAAACTCTAGTCACAAATCTAGGAAAACAGCCTTTATCAGGTTGGTTTAGTATTAGATTCACTCACATGATTAAGGAAGCATTGCTTGGGCTCGTTTAACTACGCATTTTTACGTCTTACTGAACATAGCATACGGGCTCCTTTTTCATAATGCATTAATCGTATTTGGACCTTCGTACACCGAAGCAAGTGTAACAAAACATTCTTACTGGCTCAATCAAGCCTAGAACAGAAGCCGTCGCAATATAATATGACAGTAAACATTATAATTGATTTAATGCTAACTATTCTATTCTAGTCTACTTATTCTAGTGACCAAATTTGAACGCCGATATGTATCTAACATAGAGTCACAAACATTTAAATATCAGTTGCTACGCGGTTCGTGGTGTGTGTCCTGCTTGAATTGCCTTTGCCGATTTAAGGAAATTGATGAAGAGTAAATAACAAAATGACGGGAATAATTATTTTTCTTAGACACTTTTGACAGTATTTGCGACAAAGCGCTTAACGAGCATGTTAAATCTATTTAGTATTTTATCGTTATTGGAGTGCATTGGTTTCAGTTAAACTGCCCGCTATGTCCTAAAACCTTACGAAAGGCCTCCACATGTGTTCCTGTGTTTTTCGAGTTCTTCGGCTAACAATATAGCTTCCTCTGAAGATTTGTTTGCACACGACGGAGAAGTTTGCTGAGATCAGATTTTGATTTAAACTAGCGCTGGCGATAGTGCAAGCAGAGAGCTAAAGAAGTGACAAGGTACACAATCACAATGTTAGACCATAAAGGCGTAAGCTTTGGGCTGACCTTTCTACTTAACTCGCTACGGCTGCTGGTCGTGGCTCTATTTCGTTCCTTCAAGACCAAACCCGAGTCTGGGGAGCAGAATAAGTACAATGTGTTGTTACAGCGTTGCACTCAGAAGACGTTCTTACAAGGGTACTGGTTCCATCACGTCTCAACTACCCTAGTAGCGTCAAGCCATAGCCTGGTGTATACGGTACTTTACCAATAATGGATACACTCGCATTAAAATATGTGTACTTTGCTACGAGAAAGCCAGCAGAATAGCTTGTTTTATGGAATGAATGCAAAATGTAGCAAATGTCCATATTATGTCCGATATTTAGCAATTAATTAGTAGAAAGGGATCACAATGATAAATTAAGCATTGTAAAGACGACGTACGATTTGTATTTAAATATAAGGATATTTGTAGATCTACTGCAGATTCATATTACTAATCTGCATTTTTATTATAATAGGGCATTTACGAGAGACTGTACTGGCAATTTTCGAATATCTGGTTTGTAATCTATTACTATGTGAATGGGACAGCCTCGTTGAAATTCTAGTAAAACTTAATATCTCTCTCAGCTCTCGTTTGATTGATCTAACAGGCATGCATTTGATATGTTTTCCGCATGACTCTTCGATGCGTCATCAACTGAAGTCAGTCCGGATAGGCCTCAAATCATTGGGTACAAAGAGGGCCAAATAGCAAGACACATGTCTTCAGTAACCTTGACATGCCTCTGCAAAGGGGGAAATCCATTTGCCGAGCTTCGGTGGCTCAAGGATAGCGAACCTATCCCCACAAAGGACTTGACGATTCTGACCGATGGTGTTCAGAGTGCTATCACCTTCTCGGCTGATCGTAGCGATAACGGCGCAACTTATAGTTGTGAAGCATTCAATCCAGCAACAGCGACACCTCTGGTCGCCAAGGTGAAACTACAAGTAAGATGTGAGTACACATATACATATAACATATAGTATACATGTTACATGTATACTATATGTTATATATATATATATATATATATATATAACAAGTGTTGTAAGTCAAAGGTCCCAACTATCGATAGCACAAGAAATAATCTGGCTCTACGATTTGACTGCATATAGTGACACCCGAAGTGTTTTTACGCCCTTCCTTGCGTGTTTACACGTATATTTGTAGAACGAGACTATATTTACGTCGTCCAATTTATGAAGCAATGGCCAACAGTACAATGACTAAATGATTATTCGCTTTGCTACTAATGTTACAGTCCCTCCTGAGTATGTAAATGTGACAGTGGACCCACCGATGGCACGGGTTGGGCAGCGAGTTTCGTTACTCTGTAACGTATCGTCGAGTCTTCCGGTTTCAACGATTCGCTGGTTTCGTGGTCCATCAGAGATCGACCCGGATTATCAGCAGGTTAACCAGCCAGCGGTAAGCAGGGCTGATAATTTGTCTCTATTTCATCTGCGGGAACGCGAATGAAAAAAATTCTCTGAGAGCACTAAAAATACCCAATAGCACTAAAAATAAAATGTATGAAAATCTCTTTATTCGTATAGATACCCGTGAAACTTTCTTAGTTTGGTCTCCAGCCTAAAATGAGCTGATAAAGGTTTCTAGAGTAAACAATCAAACAAAGTCAAAGTGTTGGGTTTGTTCTTTTCTAGACTAGTGTCTAAATCGTTTACGCTGCCCATTTTTCTGCGCTCCTGACCATAGTGCAATGCGAATAATCAGTCCTTGCGCTGGAAAAACATATCTGTTGCTGAATTCGGCTTAGTGTGAATATGCTTCATCTATCATTCAATCTGTATGCGCTTTAATTTTAATGCGCTTTTAGAATTATCGGACCTTTCCAAGCTTTCATTTTTCGAAAACTTATGTCATGTGGAGTTCTATATACGACACAAATCAGACAGAAATATTAAAATAAACGATATCAAAAGCGAGGCCCACTTTGATGCTCTTCTGTCACTTCGCCGACGCAACTTCGTTGTCCTTTGTCAAGTGTTTGTTGGTATATAGCTCCTTGTTTCTTCCGCCTGAGGACACCTGTTTTAGGGCTTGCCTGTGCCATACGCGCACGAGTTTTTTTATGAGGTAGTTTGTTGAATGCTTTTTAAATATCAGATATCAAGACAACTCTATATTAAATGTAATGAAGTTTAAAAAGTGTGGTACATTGTAATCGTCGACTGGACCTTTAAGTAACCGATATAAATAGTCCATAAGTTTTTGTTCAGAAGGACTGAAAAATGAGTTTGTTTTATTTATCTTTTCATAATAGCCTGAGCTGAAACGTTCATCGTCGAAAATATCATATACGAGTTAGGGATAGAGCTTCGCACCATAATCTGCAACGCACAATTTGTAACAAGTAATAAAAATACTAACAACGACCGAATTTTTACTAAGTCTTGACGTTGTTACTCGTAGTTTTCAATTTTACAGGCACAACATGCCGCTAACTAAAAGGTATTCAGCATAGCAGGCAACGCAGAGTTGGGACGCCAACCCCAAATTATCGAGATGCCAAAACAATTTTAGAAAAGCGTTTCGTTTCAGTAAGCGATACTTTATGTTTACCCCTTTCTTTTACATTTTAGAGCTTTGGCGGAACTTCTTCACATTCTCGTTTGACCCTTCTGTCAGTAACGGCCGAAGATAATGATCTTCCCATTGTTTGTTCGGCATTCAATCATTTGCTCAACATCTCGCAGATGAGCAAGGTCCATCTTCGAGTAGCTTGTAAGTTGCACTTTTTATGGATACGTTTGTAGTTTACATACTAAAGTTCAGATAACTTCTACTTTAGGCGTAGATTGTAGATGCTTATATAGCAACGTAGAATGCTACACTCATCGATAGGCCCCGTATAAGTGCATTAACGAAAAAAGTTTGGGCGCTAGCAAGAGAGCCAGTACTCACGTTAGCTGTCGTTAAAGGTATACACATTTCAATGAACATTTTGCCCTACCAAGATACTACAATTGGCAGCTTATTTAAAATTTAATTTTCCAATTAATACTTAGTAGCAAATTAATTTTACGATTCTATATTTGAGCTGGGACTCTATTATGTTATTGAAGCGTACTTAATGGAAACAACAGCCAAAACACACATCCAAAGGTTATCACTTACAAGATGTAACTTAGCGGCTTACTGTAACAATGTTTCACATTTCGGAAATATAGCGTCTGCTGGGATGGGTCAGAAAGACCTCAACAAAAGATCGTTTTGTTTGCTGATACTACCAGAAATGGCCAATATGCTCTGCACTTCAAAACTTTCTTTGCTATTGAAAAAAAAGATTCGTCGACCAAACTGCCGAAGTCGTTCCGATTTTGTCACGTTCCTTCTTTCGTATTCGCTTCTTTTTGGGAATATTGGCCAGTGGCTTCGATCCGCGTTTCTGTCACACCAACAGCTTTCGTCGGTTCCAACAGAGTCAGTGATGCTGCCGTACTGCGATCTGTCTGAGAACGAAAACCATCACAAACGAGTCGCACCACGATGGCTGCCGTTGCTATTGCACTTGATCAGACGGAGCCATCTGAAGTTGTCATTCCTTCCATTCTCTTCGATTTTTTAGATATTCACCTTGTGAAACGGGACAAACTTCGGAGCAAAGGCAGAGTCCCTCCTCCGTCCTTAAGGCTAACAAACTAACTAACTTACTTTCTTAATGCAACTCTCTGCTAATGAACTAATTAGCACCTGTTTTTGCTGTTCTTCACCATCGCTTTATCGCGCTCATCTCGATCTGTTTCACTCGCTAGTCGCAGCGACATCGACAATCTGCCTAAAACGTCAAGTTTGGCTTTTGAAGACAACTCTACGAAAACTGTCAGAAAAATACAAAGGAACATTACATCATGGATGACCTTGCGTTATTTGCCCTTTTTATGTTAGCATGATAAGCTGTACCTACGACGTTCCAATCGTCGACCAGTCTAAGATTAAATTGCTGAGTGCCACGGATCAAGGTCCTGTTCGTGTATAGCATGCAGGGTACTGACTAGGTCGCGAATTGATTTCTGTGCATTTAGGTCGCCGATACGTATTGGAGAATAAATATATTTTGAATGAAATATCGTGTAGGACAGTCCTAAAATTTTTACCGCTTCTGTTTATACGGCCGTTTCGTCCCACCTTCGTGGAGTGTCGTCTCTGTTTGGCGTTTCTCTATCTTTTAAGGAAGGAACTTTTTAAAATTCTTGTAGTTTTCTCTAATTTCTCGTTTATCAGCAGTTTCAGAAGATTAAACGTAGTTTGATAAGCGGCACCACCATCGAAGTGCCATTATAGTTTCTGCCTAACTATCAATTAAAACGCCTTTTGTTTTTATATTAGCAATAAAGTCGAAAACTCGGCTTTTTTCCTTAAACGTATTACTCTGATATAGGTATTGACCTCTTTCATCCCATTGTTATCCTCACACACATACAGCATACAACAATCAAGCTTCACACAGCACTGATATTGCCGACATTTTTAAGTAGTTTTCCTAATTACACCTAATTACACGCCATGATGGTATTCAATGTTGCTTTCCACTATATAACACTATCACGAGTAGATCCAAAAATAGTTTTAACAAAGTGTAAGTTTTTTTGGATTCAAAATAAAAAGATAACAGGAAACTATCTAAAAGAACAGCGTTTTTAGTCGCTATCTTAAATTGACGTCAAACGGAGGGTGAAGCGAATAGCCTCAAGGTCCTTCCTCATCAGCAGTGGTCATTGCAAACTTTTTCTCCGAGAACGCGACGCGTCCGGTCCGGCGGAACCATCTACATCTGTTTGTTCCCTGGAAATAAATGTTGACGTGACCATTTGTTCAACCGAAAGCTGGCGCACTCTACTCTCTACTATGGAAAAATTAAACTCACCTTGTAATACTCTAACCCTATGCGAGAAAAAAGAAAACCATTATCCTCGCTCCGTGTGTTTCGACAAGTATACATGCACAAACGGAGTTTGTGTTTCTACACATCTGCACTGCCATACCCTGTCCTTTTCAAAATTCTCAACCTATCAACGATTCATTTCGTGATGTTCACTTAGAGAACAAAAAAGGCTTAGTTTTGTTATTGAAAACTAAGGCATCGATCGTTCGCGGAAGCTCATGAATTGAAAGTATCAATTAGGCAAAAAATGCTATAAATTACAGAGCAAATAAAATGCATCTATGTAATTATAGATGTTCGTTAATTATGCGGGTTTCTTTTTAATTCTGCCTTCGTACTTGAACAGTCTTTGTCTTTGGTTAACATAAGAACGACACTTAAAACATTTGTACCAACAGAAGACAGGCACATTGTTTAGAATAGGGCAGTTTTAGAGTGTCAAAGGATTTCTTACAAGCCTTCATTTAATCACTCATTGTGTTAGTTTTGTGAATTTTGTTCCACGATTATGCATACGCGTTGAGGCTTCATTCATTGTAGTTCTTGCGATATGAAACCAACGATGGAAGTCCGTAATATAGTGATACGTTGCCTAACTAATAATGTAGATGTAGTAAGGGTTCCTGCAACTGCAGTTTCCTAAATTTCTAATAGGGCAGAAGCCTAGAAGAAAGATACTTCTAATGCGTTTAAAACATGAAAAGTGACTATTCTTGATCAGTCGCTATGAAATTAGCGCCTTTTGCGCCTACTTAATGCTTCGTTATTTTATAAAACAGGCATGATCGTTCTTTTTTAGATCCGCCCGAGTTTCCACAGTCTGAGTGGACCTTTAAGCTGACAGAAGGAGAATCAATGGTGGTGAATATCTCGGCCAAGGCGAATCCCTCTGTAACGACCAAGGGATATTCATGGACTCGAAGAGGCGCGTTACTAACAAATGTAGATGGTAATACCGCACTTTGTTTAATAATTAGCTTAGTAAATATGAACGTGAATCACTCAGCTAGCTGAGTAAATAGAACTTGAAGCATTTGTACACAAGCACACAGTAGAGCACCTTTTTCAAACTAGTGTGTTGTATAATCCCGCATTATCACCGGCTGATTTTAATCGTTTTTGTAAATGTCTCCTACGGCGGTTCGCTGACCAGTCGATAACCTCATCTTATTTATCCTACACAGCTCTGAACGACAGCGCTCATTCGATATCGTTTGACGGGCCTTTGTTGCACCTGCGCAACGTAACGCGTTTTCACGCGGGCCACTATCTCGTCGAAGCGGACAATGGCGAAGGTGTCCCTGTCAACGCATCTGTCTACCTTAATGTCCTATGTGAGTATGGTAACAAGCACATTCACAATTATTTAAAAAGTAAGCGAGTGAGCTTAGCAGGTTAGGTTCTGAGAAATCTTTTCATGTTTCACTTACTAATGTGCGTCAGCTGTGGTGTCATTGCTTTTTATTGTAAATTGAAATTATTCAGTTAGAAAGTGTTCACCGATTAGCACAAACAGAATCAAAACACGTTTGTAAAATGGAATCCTATGGAGCTATTAGTACTGAAAGTATAGGAATACTAGAGCTGACAACTTCGCTATTTAGCAGGCATCGGTTTCCATATCAGGCTGTCAGTTTCCTCTACATTAAACGAGACTTATATCTGACATTTCCAAATTAGACAAACGACAACTTGTACTATCTATCGTATAATGATAAATATACTTAGGTCAGCTAGAAATGCGCCCGTATTCTATCCACAACCAAGTTCGAAAACTAACTAACTAGCACCAGTACGATGGATCTAACATGTGTTCCGCCGTCGGCTCTGCTCAATCTAGCCTTTTCGCATTTGTTATTCTGCTGCTCTTTTTCTCTGTATTTTGCGCGATTGCGATTCTAATTTGGACAGGGATTCTATCAGTGCGCCCTAGCGGAGACCACCACAAAAAACGGCGAAGCGTAACGCCAGTCATAGGCGCTCGCAGTTCCGATCAGTGTTACACTTATATTCTAGCACACCTACGGGCACATGTCTTCCTTTCGGTACGATGTCGTGGCCGTTTTCCATAAAGATTGGCTGTCTAGTGGCCCGCAGTTGTTAGCGCAGTCGCTGAATTGTTGGACCCATTACGGGTATGAAGACGGCGTGAACAGATGGCAGGAGAAGGAGCTATATGTTGTCATGCATGGCGTGCAAATATGCCCATATTTTTCTGCCTCTAATGTCGTTCTCTTTTTCCCAGTACATGGTCGGATGTTTTCTTGATTCTCGCAGATTAGGCTGCAATTGGCAACTCACACATAGACCAGAAGGTTTTGAACCAAACTCATCCAAACTAGAAACTAAGCCCTTTTTCCCCGGATGCTCGTTCTGCTCTCTTGTAACTTCTATCCAAAGTTTATGCAAACAAGTTAATTTTGGGCCGCAGTTGTACAGAGTGCCCCGCCGCATAGTTGTGTTTGTTGAAGCTGGGGCGAACGAAGCTTATCAACTTATTCATCCAACGTACTGAGCCAGTACAATTGCAAATTAGTAGTGGCTGGCCGGATCTGCCCCTTGCTACTATCCCTTTGCTACCCCTATCATCATGGCCTTTTCTCCTCACTTTTTGTGTAGAAGTGGATGCAGGACACAGACAAAAAAAAAAAGACGAGAAAGGACTTCGATTCTCTACTCCTTGAATAAGATGGCTTCTTTGTTCCGCTGCAGACAACACCAGTCCGATTTGCTTTCTCTGCCAAAGCTGAAAGAGTTGAGGAGGGATCGAAGAAGAACTACTGCACCTTTGGTATTCCTTCAGACATGGCTGGTCCGGCCGTTCCGTCCAACGAAAAGAGCAAGAAAATAGAGTGAGCTAGAGAATAGTCTTTTCGGTTCTCCCTTTCTCCCTTCTGTCATTAATCACTTTGGCTAGGCCTTTTCAAATGTAAGAGTGGGTGCCCCTTGGTATCGTTGGATGATGGTGGCGGCCTTGCCTACTGATCCCCTCTTTTTTGTCTGTCCTTTGTACCGCTTTTCTTCCGGTTAGCTGTTTTTCTGTCACACTCCCCATTCCTGTGCGACTTCTAGACATCACTGTGTCTCTCCACCAGGGGCGTCCTCGCTGAGCGTGAATGAGCAAAGGCTTGAACCGCTGATCGCCTAAGGCGCACACAACGAGCCATCAGCCTAGAGAACGAGCTACACTGCAGAATGGTGCGTGCATGTGGTACGTGTACGATGAAAAAATGAGGTTAAGAGCGCAAGGAATAGGACAAAACGGGTTAACTGAAGACCAAGGGCTTTAACTGAAACTTTAGCGGCAAGAGCCACAACGACAGCAGTAACGGTAGCTAAAAAAGCTGCCGGTAAAAAAGTAAGAAATATTCTTTCTAGATTCAGGACTCTGCTTGTCACTACAGAAAATGGTTCGTCCGCAAACAAAACCGGCCGCGTGTCTTTTAGTCGTCTGTATCCACTTGTGCACATATCCCAGAGCACTGATCTGCATTTATCGGGTGTATGTGACGGTGCATGAACGTACGAATATCAAGCGGTTCCATACGCATGTTTTTTTCAGTCTGGGCTTGGCGGGTCTATCGTTTCCAATGAAATGGCTCCCAAACGCTTAAAGTGGACGAAAAAAGGATGATGACTAGAATCGGTTAGGAAGGTCGCGCCTCATGAAAAGAAATGTCAGATGCACTGAATAACACGACAAAAAGTAAAGGTTGGGTTAGCTTTAGGGTCTCCTCTCGGATTATTTCCTTCGGCCTGAAAACAGGAATTCGAGACGGAGGGCGAAGTTGACAGCTTGGAACTAATAAGAGATCTCAAAACAAACCGGAACGAATATGTATCGTTAACGCATTTTGCGTAGCGCACCCTAATAGGTAGCCGGTGCGTTACCCAGTTGGTTTGCGGGACTTATTTTTTGTAGATAAGGTAATTTCGTCTTTCACAGTCACAGTCAAACGTAATGACGACGACTAGAAGCAAGAACGACAAGAAGACCTTTACTGAGAAACGCTCAGAGACGAGGGTGGGGTGCCTCGAACGAGTAGGAGATTGTGGCAAAATCGAAGCGGACCGAACAAGAGGGGAATGGGTGGAGGAGGAGGACACGAACATTTGCATTGACAAATTGATGCCCGCTAATGCTTCGTCGTTGGCGCTTCCTCTACAGCGCTTACTACAGCGATGACGACCTTCACAAGTGAAATCAGCAGCGGATAGACGACAGCACGGCCATCGATAGCTCATTGCTTCTTTATGTCTTTGCTCATAGTATATATTACGGAAGAAATAGGTGAATAAATAGAAATAAATAGAAGAAACAAGTGCCATTCTCGATGCGGGAAGCCGCTAGCTACTATCCCACTCGATCCATACTCTAACTCCTTTTAGCCTGTTTTATATGCCTCTCGACAATCTCACTAAACAGCCTGAAGACAAAATGTGCTACGTTTTCGCCCTGAATTCCATTGACTTGGTTTTACCTGTTCCCGAAAATCATTGCCCCGCCAGATCTAATAGAAAAAACACAGATACGAAGTAGGCCCAGCTAAGCGGCGCAGAAGTGCTGCGCGATCGTTGTCAGGAAAAAACAGTTGGAGCCGATCTCAAAAGATAACCCGCCATCAAATTAATCGGTGAATACCTGAAGATGAGAAGAATCTGACAATGTCTCCAAGCGAGACAACTAAGCTTAGAAGAACTGCGGTAGGAGAAATCATTTAAAGTAAAGTAAGCAAAAACAAACAGAACATGATCTGACCTGTCATTTCGGAACTTTTTTGCGAATGCAAACGAAGCGAAGATTAAAGGAGAAGCCAAAAAGGGGTATGTCACAAGAGCAACACGGAAGTGATTTCGAAAAACAAATCCATATATACGATGAATAGGATGGGCTTACTTATAGTATGCAATAAATGATTAATTTAATTAAATTTTTTTGGATAAGTGACAGTTAGTTGTTTTCACTATTTCAACGAGTATTAAAAAAATGATTCGGCAGGTGTACCAGAAAACAGAAGAAATAAAATCAAAAGAGCCATGTAAATGTTACCTGTCGTAAGCCTGTGTCGATGTCTTTACGCTTTATTTGAGTGTACAAACCAACATGAATTTCGTCATTGATTAAGTGATTGCTTTATTTGTGAATATTAGTCGCACCTATTCTGGAAAACGTCACACGTGACGTGGAGGTCGACGAAGGTCAAGATGCCGTACTGTTTTGCTCGGCTGTAGCAAACCCTTCAGCCCAGGAACTTTTCTCGTGGAGACGTCAGGGAGCCCAGCTCGGACTCGCACCCAAGACAAAACTTATACAGGTATGCACTAAAGTAGAAATACTGGATTTCATAGACTATCTCTAAATAGTTGCCAATAAAATTCATATAAATTCGAATACAAAAATATGCATACAATTAACTTCGGAATAGTATTTCCTATGTTTTTAAATTAATCACCTTTTCATGCTTAAGCTAAAGAAACATGATTCTTTGAGTTAACCACAAAGAACTGATGCTACTGGCACTAATTCGGTGCGAAGACTCATGCCGCGCTTTGGATATTTATACGACACATTGTAGTTTATTATAAAACACTGAATCTGAGACTTTGCCCCTATTGATTTTATTTCTTTAACAAGAAAACCACCTCGAGCGAACTTCGTTTATTAAACGTTTCCCGGAACGCGACGGGAATATTCGAATGCGTTGCCACCAACGGAGTTGGCGAAGCGGCTGTTGGTATTATCCGCCTAACGGTAAATTGTAAGTATCTCATAATCAAAGACTAACAGCTCTAATAAATGACACGTTTGCGAATCGATCAACGCAAGTAGTTGAAACTTGAAATACTTAACTTGGAGCCGAAGACTACCTATACACAAATGGACCATTTAAAATGCATTACAATTAGTGGAGTACACAGTTTTCCGAAAATTTCCGTTGGTCGGCAAATTGACGTGGAAAAATGATCGTATCGGCATTCCCTAGTGCGCTCTATGCTTGGTTGGTGACCATGTGCACTTGTAAGGCATCACTGCAGATATAGTTATCTCTTGCCGAAGTCTGACGTATGAAATAAACAAAGCCCCATAATCTACTGAGATCAATTACTATTGTGTTTGCATCTCCTCTTTAGATCGGCCGCGCATTCAGATGCCGCCTGATCCACCTCTACATCGAGTCGCTTCAGCCGTCGAGGACAGCGTTGAGATTTCGTGTAAGGCGGACGGTGTGCCGGCTGTTAATTTCGAATGGCTATTTAACGGCCAGCCGATATCAGCGATGCATCCGAACTTCGAACTTCCTCGACCCCGCAAACTGGCCGACACCCGGTGGGAAGGTCTTTTAACTATTCGGAAAGTGACCGAAGGCGATTACGGATTATACTCCTGCGTCGCAAACAACTCGTTAGGCACGGATTCGTTGGAGTTTCACCTCGTACCTAAATGTGAGTTGTATGGACTAATTGACTGCTGTAGAAGTTTTCATTTATCTAAATGGAAGTTCAGCTCTGGTGAATCGTGCTCAGGCTTTCGTAAGCTCTAATACGAATAGGCGTTAACTTGGAGAGGGACTTAATGCTCAATAATTGTTCTTAAAATTATTTGTTAATAATTGCTCACAGAAGAGTGACTACGGGTTCTCCGCGTACAGCTAACCTTCATCACGTAGACTAACGACGGCAGAACAATTCATTCCCTGCGCCATACTGTTTTCGTTCGCCTGAGTGCCCTTTAAGCGAGGGCTCGTAAAGTCCATAACTTCAAGTAACCTTCAACGGTGCTATAATGTTTAATGGAATGGAACTTATAAGGGGAATATGTTCTTATATTTTAGCTCGGTCAACAAGATATTCTCACTCGACGTAGAGATGGCTGAATACGTTTGGTTTTCCATGGTTTTTATGTTAAACTCTTCGTGATGATAAAAGGCGGTTTCAGGTTATCGCTTTAGCGGATTAACTGTAACGCTCATTCATAAGGGGTATTGTTAAAATGTATCTTAACGAAAAATCTAGCTCTATATACATATATGCTTTTTTTTTTTAAACAGTGCCGCCGCTGCGTTGCTTTTCGTTCGTGAATGCCACTCCCCTTATCGTGATAGCCAAAAGCTGTTCGCTAAAAAAAGTCAGGTTATTTGCTAGGTTTTTCTGAAACTGTGTGTCTCATAGGCTTCGTTTATGCTGTTTCAATAGTACACTTATCTACATTCAAACCTTGCCTATTATAGCACTGGCAAGAAGTTGTTTAAAGGAAGCTTGTCACAGTTCAGTGATAAATAATTTGCTTATTTGCTCTTGGCCCATTGCAAAGAAAACCACTCATTCTATTACTCGTCTCGCTTGAAACATTGGTTATTGCTGACCAGAAGGTCTACCACGCGAGATGATACCAATTTTCCACGATTTCTATTTCGATCAATTGTCATGAACGTAGCATTCGTGTACCAATAATGTTTTCGACTAGTTTCAAAGGGTAGCTCGTAATGCAGTTCTATACTAGAGAGAGACATACACATAAATACCTTTTTCATGAGTAAATTAACTGTTTTCTGATAGCTTCTTTCCACTGTAACAGCGGCGAAGCAGCGCACAGCAGTTTCGTCTAATCAACGTTGAAAAGAGCGTTAGCTACCTTGGTAGATAGTAAGGTTGTGTGTTGCATTATTTGCAAACGTAGTTCCCTATGGGCGACCAAGCAGCTCCTCTTTTTCGCGTTTCCCCGTCCACCTATGCCCCTGTGTTAATTATGACGTCTTAGGAGAATGTTGAAGATGCAACAGATAGTTATTTGGCTAGAGGGAGGAAACGAAGGACGCCCGTAAAGATTTTTCGCTCACCGAACATCCCGCTTTGCGCGCCGTTCAGCTCGACGTGGGGCAGGTGGGAATGGCGGATCCAGCCTTGCCAGTTGTAGGCATTAGTGGACAAGACGTGTTAAACGATTAGAATACGATAATACGTGTTCTACGCACAGACACTTTCTATGCAAGCATTTGCCTGTGGTCGGACCTGCTCATCGCTATTGTGTCTCCTTTTGTCTTCCTTCGTTATTGATTGTGTAGCGGCTCCTGATCCTCCTATGGGACTACAGGCTTTCAACATCTCGCACCATGCCGTAAGGCTCAGCTGGCAACCGGGATTTGATGGAGGGCATTTACAAACGTTTTACATTACCTACAGAAAAACCGATGTACGGGTAAGGTTGTAAAAAAAAAACAATAAAAAGATGAAACACAACTTAAATGGGCAACTTGAAAGAGCCAGAGGATAACAGTAAATCCAGCATATTTGCGTGTAGCTGAGAAAATTATTTAGTACGTTGAGCTAATAGTTTATAGCGCACCATGCCCTTCAGCATTTAGTAATCCAATCGTCATAGTTTGCCGTGTCGGAACTTGAAACGAGTGCATTTGTTGAAGGTCGTTACTTATCATCGTCGTTGTCATTCCCATAATTTATTCCAGTTCGAACGTAGATTACGACTATTATATACTGGCGTAATAATCAGTTTTCCCCATATGAGCGCCTTGGGTTATACTGGACAATTAAGAGTCACTGTAGTTTCGACATTATCACGTTCGTTAACGTAATGTTGACCAAGTGTGACAGCTGTTTTCTGCTCGATCGCACCTGCTGCTCAAAGTGCTAACCGTTTTTACAGGCCACCCATCCAGTTACAGTGTCCCCCAGAATAGCAGAAGACGATAGTGAGCGCAAGACCAACGTCAAGACGGTTGCAGACATCCAGCAGCGAGATACCGTTCTTCTGAAACAATCTGTCCTAGCTGTCAATCTAACATCATCGCAAAGTTCCTTAATAGTGGAGGGCCTGGAAGCGAATACCGAGTACACTTTTGAGGTGACCAGCTCAAACATTCTCGGCAAAAGTCGGGCGCCCAGTGAGCCCCTTGAGGTGATAACGCAAAGTAAGTTAGCCATTACATACTATTGCATTATATTAGTTAAGACAGACTGTTTTATTCCGACGTATTTAGCGCGTGCGTTTCGCAAGTCGTGTCTGTAAAAGTGACTAAATTTAAAAAAAGAAGCAAGTTTTTCCTTTTTCCGGGAACAGTTCATCCTAGTTATTTGATATTTTAAATAATAATAGGCCCTGAATTGTAAAAGAAAGCATTCATTTCAACAAAGACAGGCACGGCGGGAGTGAGCACTTAAACTTCAATTAAACATATTAGCCGCAAAAAAATCTGATAAAAGTGACGTTATCTAATTATGAGGCAAAAAGTACAACGGATGTTATAAAAAATCAGTTTATTAAATACTTGATTCTTCAGTGTAGCAGACAGGTATTGCAAACAAGTAACTTGATATTTTTATAAACTTAATTTTACTTCAAATTCAACTACTCTATATCATTAGCGTTTTGCAGTTAACATTACGCGAAAAAGGAAAGACACTTCATTTCAGAAAAACTATTTTGTCAGATGCCAAGGAAATCTAACAAGCAATTCTTGTATTTTGTACTAACAGCAGGCTCCAGTCGAATTTCTCTGTGAAAGTTAATTCTACCACATTTCGGACGACGCCTTTCTGACGTTATTGTTAGTTTTACAAACAAATTTACTTTTTTTTTGCAGATATACCCCAAATGGATTCAACGATCTCCATGGCAGGCAACGGTGGTCCTCTTTCATCTTCAGGCCTTGGTTCGGGCGTAGGATTTCACCAGAGCGCCAGCTCGACGCTGTACGCTCTTGTGGCAGCCGTCGCGGGCCTGCTGCTTTGTGTCAACATTTGTCTGCTCGGAGTGTTTCTCAGACGGCGCAGAAGAAACAATGACTCGCAGGCAAATGGTTTGTAGCGAAGGGCAAAAGTAAGCCATAATTTGCTTTGACACTCGATTGTATCTAACACAAGGTTTCTGTTCCGGATGTTTGGCAGTCAGTAACATGCAGCCGGAGCCAGTGTCTAGTAACATACATTATCAGGTTGTCTATGACGCACTAGAAAAAGGGAAATTTTACCGGAAGGGTCTGATTTTCACGTGTATCAGCACTATCGTCCTTTTGCTATCTTTTTAACATTCTGCGGAGCGGTGTGGCCGTCTGCGCTGCAGACGTTTTGAGTCTTCACCGGTCTTACTATCGAAATAAAGTAGAGCTACAAGAGAAACAGGGTGTCGTAGAACCCTCTGTCGATTCTTGCTTTTACTGGATGTGACGGTATCACGCAATCCGGCAACAATAGAAGATTACGAAATCATCTACTCATCAACTAGGTGATCTTCAATAATTATATCGCCAGATGCCCATCGTAACAGCCTTGCTATAGGCTCGAATAACCTGACGTAATTTACGTTTACAACATAGACTGGAAAGGCTAGAGAGATGAACGTATCCAAATAATCGCAACAAGCGTGTTATCTTTGGTATTACTGAAAATGACACAATACGCACCAGTTAGGCCTGCTGTAGATAAACCGAAAACTTATCGTGCACTGTGCAACATATGAACTGTAATTGAATGTTTGTCCAATTGCTTGTACTTAATAACTTGTTCATGTATTCGTTTATACTGGTTCAGGTGCTTTCTTATTTGTGCAGAAACGTTACGAAGGCGGCGTCATTGGCGTGTTTATTTAGGATACTGAGCCTTATATTACGAGATAGATGGTTTATTCCATGTACTACTTTATTTCAAATATCGGATTTTTAACTGAAGCTTCCACTAAACTGGTTCTACTTGCTTTAAAAACCAATTTCATTAAAATATCCTATATAGAGCCAACTAAGAGATCGTACCTAGACGCTAGGTCAGGGACCTAGTTAGTTCCAGCCGCTAAGGCGCCTATATAGCACATACCATATCGATTTCTAATAGATCAATTTTAGTGAACATTGGAAGTGTATTACAAAATAGCTTGCAGTATATGAGTGTCTATTTTCTAAAAAAATAACGTACAGCAAAAAATAATTATTCACTAATTAATTATCAACAGGTGATTGCAACAGGAGCTCTGCCTCTGGAAAAAAACCATCGAACGACAAAAAAGTGTTCCTTGTAGGCGAACGTAAGGGTTTAGCTGAAAAGGATGCTCCTGCAAAAGGAGCTGCCGGCTATACGAGAGATAACGATGACCACTGGATTCAAACGCCACCGAAGCTCGACTTCCATGTTTTCCGCACACCTGATGATGAGCCTGTTGCGAAGCAGGTTGCCCTTCACCAAGAAACCCTTGAACAGGGTAAGCACCTTTGAACTTTTCGGTTTATGGTTTGCCTATTGCATAGAGCCAATGGGAATACATTGATTTTCTTTTACGATTACTATAGCTTTTTTTTTTTTTGCATAAAACCTACGAACAGTAAAATGACTTCGTACATTTTCGTTTTGATACTCCATCATTTCAGAGGTAAAGGTCATGCCCCCCCAGCTGGCTGTTGCAGATGGTTATAAACTACACTCCAGATTTGATACATCAGTGCCGTTAACAGAGGTTCCATTTCCTGACGTACTACCGCTGCCGCGAACCCTACTATCCGGCTCAAGTTCGATAGTGGCCCAACCCACATTATCGGCATCGGGCCAGCTTCCCTCCGAGGTGGCTATTCCGCAACCACTTTCTGCTACCGACGGCATTTTCCTTCCGCATCAGCAGCTACCTCCACCCCCTATGTGGCTACCGCCCATTCGTGATGTGTTCGACCCTACTACGCGTCGTTACAGCACGGCGGCAAACGAGCCTCCAACCGCCGTTCAAAGGGATGACCTGGTATCGTCTACTCTACCGCGCAATCTCCACCTGCACCAAACGGCAGGTTTACAGCAGCAGCGAACTAATCAACAGCAGCTGCAGCAACAACAACCACAACAGATCCTGCCACAACAGCAACAACCACAACTAGCCAATCAGCAGGTGCAGTCCGCAAATACAACTGCGAGTTCTAGTCGGAACTATGGCGGAGCAGCCACCCTCGGGCGACAGCCGCGGAATAGGCAGACGACAACACAGAGACCCGGCGTCCGGTGGATCCCCGCGGTACAAATGATCCCACCAGTAGCTGCCTCAGTGACCGCATGCAATCCAACGAGTCAGGGGCTGAAAGAGACCAGTTAGGCTGGGTTGGGCCTTCAGCAATTAATCTTAATAGAATCAGAACCAGCAAGCTATTTTTTTTCGGCTACACTCAATATTACGGCTAGCGTTGCAACTACTTCCGCCGACATTGTCACTGCAGAAAGTGCGATCCATTCCCACGACATGAGCCCTGGAGCCGTTGCTGTTGCTTCTGCTGGCCGTACAGATGTCAAGGCGATGACACAGATGTGCGTTCTATATGGGACAAGGTTATTTTGACAGGGGAGGGCACCACAGTCAGATAAGGCTGAATCGAGGGCTGAGTGGACGAACAACGTTGAAATGGGGATGCGGCAGTGCGTAGGATGATAACGATGTCATCTACACGGCAGCTTGGTCGGTCGTAGTAGACAGACAAAGCGGTTACAACTAATTCAAGTATGTGCGTATGAGAGATTGCGTTCCAAGGCGCGTTCTGTTAAATGGCACATATAATTACAATTACTATTACTAGTCCTTGAAACCTATAGTTCATTCCTTTGTTTTTGCCTAAAGTGTTGCGACACTCATGGCTGCCAGTAATAGAGCACGATAGCATCTTACCTATAAGCCGTTAACAACCGCTGTATCCCTACCGTTTATCAGAAGAAGGAGCGGGAGCAGGGGCAGCAACAAAAAATAACCAATTGACCATAGAGCATGCAATTTTAGGTAGAAGAAAATTAGATAACGGAGGTTAATATAAAGTAAATGACTAAAAACGAAAACTGTATTATATATTGAGTTATAATATATATAGTCTACAATAGGAGAGAAATGTAAGTGATAATCGGTGAAAGACGAAGTGATAGAGCGGTGGGGGGCTTTTTGATGTAACACTCGTTCGGTGAGCGATGCAGATCTAAGCGGTGATACGGTGCATTGGAATGAATACGTCTTAACTAGCATTTTTGCTGAGACCTTACCTGTTAAACGTGGCTAATGAGTATGGGTGCTGTGGTGAAGGTACAACTAAGTGCTCAAATAGTAAGGCTGTAGAGCATAAAATGAATAAGAAAATGGCCGCGAAAGCAACAACAATAACAAAGGAAACCTGTTGAGGTGAAGGGAGCATGATAAATGAAAAGAAAAACATTTAGACTAACTTTAACTATTAGAAAAGTTGGATAGAGCACTGAACGCAGAAAGTTAGATGTTAAATAACGATGAACGTCGCGTTCAAGTCAGTTGTACGCTCAGCGTGGAGGATAGGGACCGCCAGCGTGTTAATAATAAGGTTATATATAAAGTAAGTAAGTAAGTATGGGTTTTAAAACACATTTAATAGTTTGACTGAAGCATGTGATGGAAGAGTGCAAAAAGAGGGAAGAACTTACGCAAAGCACAGTGGGACGATGGAAGGCAAATCTGTAAATATCCATAGGCATTGCGGAAAACCCCTAGCTAAATATTGTTACTTCCACTATAAGAGGCGAAGAACGCAGGAATAACAGCAAGTTAAAGGAAGGAGAAACACGAGCGGTGAACGCGTCTAAGGCACATTGGAAGTTGAATAAAAAACGAAAAACCTAAGGTCAATTGGGGTCAAGCAAGGGCGGAACGGCAAAAAGAAGACCAGTACTAAAAATCAAAGCAAATAATGTCAGATAAGAACACCAGTTGACAATCAACATACAACAAAATTGCTGAATAATTGAAGACAATTCGCTTAGGCAGATAAACAGATTAACTCTGAGGGATGGAACGTACGTACACGAGTAAAAAACATTGCAGGTCATATCTACCAGAACGAAAGCAAACCGTTGGTTTGATGGTAGAAAACGCCTGTACGAAATTCCCTTGGCTAGATTGCCTTGGCCTGTGTAGATAGGAAGTGCAGGATTATTCGTATGGAAGCGATTATGGATAAACACAAAAATAGAGTCTGTTTTCGTTGGGAAAAAAATGCCTTTAATTTTGACGGCGAAAAATGATTAGGGACGCACCGCAATAATAATGATGATGGAGACTATGAATGCAGAATAATACATTCAACAATAATAGCTTCATTGAACACACTTCCCTGTGGTGCGCGTCGAGTACGACCGGCAAATCGTCCTGTCTGTGCAGTCCATGTGTCTATTGGATATTGTCTGCCGAGGACAAAATGCGACAAGGAAAATGTCGTTTATCGAATCGTTCCTATTCCTGCTCATGGTACCGTTGGAATGGTTCCAAGGCAGTTGAACGTCGTACGAGGCGAAACAAAGTGGCCCCGGATCCAAACTTTTACCGCAATTGTAACGCTCAAATACCTACATATGAATTTAAGCGTACAGACACACATTCATATATAGAAATTTAACAATTAATAGAAACAGCTTTTTGGAAATTTACAGGCATGATCATGATCCTGTGTACCGACATGCGATATTAAGGTAGTTCAACTCGAATGTCAGCAGTGTTCGTAATGAAAAACACAGGGTGGGGAGAGTGTATAATGGAAAAAGAAATGATGTTTGAACTAACTGAGGAGACGACCTCGTGGAGATGAGGAGTAGAGGGCAGAAGAAGTTGGCGATACCAATAATACTAACACAGGAACGAATAGTTGCCAAATGGTAACAAATGAGTGACGCATACAGAACAAAGAAGCAGAAGAAAAAACTACGGACGGCTTTAACAGAATATCGGCGTCAAATGTATTATTTTCTATTTTATATAAATCGATGAACGAGTAAGAATAAAGGATGATTAAAGTTGTCTCTATTTTAAAACCATCGTGCTTTCAATCGATGTAGCATAGGCACCACCAACTAGATACGCTATATGATTAGGTCTAAATGAAACAATAACTATATAATAGAAATGCTATTCAATGCAACTTAAGTAATGGTTAAATAATCTCCAGAAAAGATGCCGTTCAATTTTACGATCAAAAACTGGCTACCAAAGTACACTATTATCATACACCCGGACGAAATTACAGCCAACTTTGATCACTCCAAAGAATCTCGTATTCACTTATTGCCAAAATGCCAAATCAAGCTCTTATTTTTTAGATTTTTTTTTTGTCAATCGTGCTTGTTTCGCTCAGCTGTAGATATCTCATTCCAGAAAAATTAACCAATTCGGACGATACCTATAAGGATTTTATCCATTTACTAATATCTGAGTATTTCTCATTCTTCGCGGAATAAATTCGACTAGATCAGATCTTCGTGCCATGTCCGAGTAGTGAAACGGAACGACGTCTATCTGGACGTTATCAGAATAACATAAAACAGGCAACCGTCGAAAGAGATAACTTGACGATGCTTTGACACCGAAGTTGACTGAAATAAAGACCCGAGTTGAGGCTTTCCTTGGATTCATCAAACGGCAATTTGCTGCCAGACAATTATCTTCGAATAGGGCACATAATTGTTGAAACGCCCTGCTGGGGAACGTCCTATAGACGCGGTAGAACTGGTCGGTATAAAATATGCAACGCTCCTCTTTCGTGTAGGATGCATCATCAACTAGTGGCTATTTCTACATTTATTCGTCAGCATATAGCTATACAAGACACAGTAAATAACAGCCTACTTATTAGATCATTCCTCAATAGATTATGTGTTGAAAAACTCCTATCAATCAGCGCGGCATATTCAATGTATTGTTATTATTATTATTTTTTGTTAAATCGAAAACGTTATTTACATGATTCCATGCGACAACAGGTTTGCCCACCTATGTTGCTTTTCTTTGAAGAAAAATTGAATTTTATTGTATCGTCAAAAGCGCTTCAGCGGTAGTGTTCTTTAGGTCTACCGACATATAGGGAACCGAAAGCAGACGTCTGAGAAACCTGGCAAAACAGATGGAAAAATTTGGATTGTATTCATGACGGTGCACACTTCTGTTTCATTTCGCTTATCGATAACTTCATCCTTCATATACGTAGATCACTTTATCAATCTGCCACTTAATGGCAAGTAAAATACGTGTACAAATAGGTACATTTCGCGCCCCTAGTTTCTTAACTTTTTGCTTTTTTTTTTTTATCTTTAACTTATCACAAACGTAGTGATGCGCAAACGCTTAAATGTCAGCATTAATGGGTAACGATAAAGAATTTATGGAATAACGAAGGTAAGTGACAAGGAGCTGCGTATATAGCTACTCTGCTGTAGCATAGGTCCATCGGATAAGCTTCGACTAAATCTAGTAGGCGGCCTTTGAAGTCATACAGAGCAAGGGTCAAATCGAACTAACACCTTAAAAGGTCTTAAACCAAAACCGACCAGCTGTTCTATCTGAATCTAACAGACACTTATTACTGTATACGTCGCCGTCAAAACCCGGCAAAGACCATCTCCGCTTTTACGGCTACCCTGCTAGACGTTTTGATAGCCAAATATGTACGTGTGCAGTTATTTTTACGCATACACAACTTCGTGTTTATAAAGTATTTACAATTAAAATTCCAACAACATAGAAATATGCGCCAGCTCGAAATAACTTGACTTTTTTTTCTAGAGCTTCAAAACGATAACAGCAATTTCGGCTTTCGTATGGGTTGGTCGAACTGTCGTCAGGGCACCGACGAAAGTCGCTTTGCACCTGAGCGTAAATTATCCCTGGCAGTCGCCGCGGGAGTAATGTCCTCTTTGAATATGACTCTCGGAAGCTATAATTTCTACTACATTGCTTCAGTCACGGTTTCGGAAAGTAGTACGCAACGTTTGCTGTTCAACAGAGTCAAAGCCGTTCGAAGAGGTAAGTTATGGTGCTCTTCAGATGGCAAGGTCACACGGGCGAAACCAGCCTAACCTCAGCGTGCTTTACCGGACGGCTACCACCCTCTTTTTCACCACCCTTGCCAGTGCAATATTCACTACTATTTCTACTACAATCGTGTTCCACTACGTTCGTTTGGCGATCTTCCCCTATGAATCATAATGCATGACCCACGATTTTCCACATCCGACCCAATCCATGCTGGCGCTCGTTCACTCTCTGTCGTCGAGAAGAACCCAACATTTGTTTTCGCAGGCTTCTTAACCCGAGCGAGGGTTGTGTTGCGACTTTCGTTCGCGAGTGGGCTAACGAATCGCCGGTTTTCAAGCGACGATTGTCGACGTTGGCTTGTTTTACCCTGTTCTCGCTGCTGTTATTGTGGAAGGACGCATAAGACCTGGCGAAGCTGGCAGTTGCAATGACTGTGGTTGCGTTTCATTGCAACACTCATATAGCACTGCAACTTCATTCGAGTGTGCACCACTAACAGGCCGTCTCGCGGCCACCTTGACTGCTGTACACTTTCATGCATAGTGGAAAAGTGCAAAGATGGCTAACGCTAATAGGCAACAGTTCGTTCCTGCCATTTGTTTCCACACGGCCATTATTAACCGAAGGGCTCGAGTCATTTAGCTCAACGGTTAAACGCTGAAACTAGTGCTCCCCTTGCTGTAGTGGTAGACGATTATAAATATTATACTAAAATCTGTGCGGATTTGCTAACGCTTGGCCGGTGGCTGGACGAGAAAAGTATCCATAGCTTTACAAGTGAAGTGCAGTGCCTGTAGTCTTTGAAACGTGAATAGTCAATGAGTCAACTGTGACTTAAAAGCAGAAAACACAGAAGACGTAAAGGATGTATGACTTTTAGGTCGCTTACGTACGGCGGCTTAGATCATTGACGTGGGTCAGACAGGTCGATTTTTACCTTTGGGGAAAACCACATGGACAATAGAGAGATTTCGTAAGCGATATTACACCTATGATCTAAGAGAAAATATATATATATATATATATATATATATAAAATAAGGTTACGTGCCTGATTCTGTCGCTTTACTTCATTCTGGACACGTCCCGCAACCTATCCTGTTTCTGATACCAGGTTACGACGACACTTGTCAAGTATCTGCCTCTGAGCAATCCGCCCAAGAAATCTTTATATGCTAACCTAACAATTTTACGATCTTTTCACAGATCTATCGACACTTCTAGCTGTATGATTTTCAACCGCGAAAAATAATCACTATTAATATTAAGGATAAATTATATTTGTGCTAAATAATTTCGTAAAAATGAGAAGAGATTTTTGATTAAAGCACGTTCTAGGGACCCAGTGATGGGTGCAAAATATAGCATGAGCATATATAAAAAAAATATATATATATATTTTTTTTTTGTTTAGCGCATCTGTCTGTAGCGCATACAAACGCTACATATATATATATATATATATATATATATGTAGCGTTTGTATGCGCTACAGAAGAATATGCAGAATTTCCTTGCTATTCCTATCAAATTAGGCATACATATTGTACTAAGTGCCAATATACCTATCTGCATAGTTGAAAGCTGGTTATACATACATCCTGTCGAGTCTTTAATGGAAACTACTATAGTTTATTTTAAGAATTAGCGTATCCCATAGAGTTAGTTATATTTAATAAGCTAATATATATTTTATTTATAGCATTAGCAATAGCCGTAATGACTCGTCTGACCAGTGTTTTACGCACGGCCTCGATAATCCATATGTAGATACACGGGTCTGAAACCCGGTGTCCAGTTTTGCTTAACGTCAGTTGGCCATGTCAAATCAACCTGCCGTAAAAAACAGCCTTGACATTTAACTAATTACCCACTCATTCTAATAATGCTATAGTTGCAGCTTAGTTGTGCTGTTTCCAAGTTACTTGCTCATATTCTGCTCAAACCCCCGTTGCTTTCTTCATTCAATTACTATTTTTGTTTTGATTATTGAAGATTGCAATTTAATAAAATGCGTTCCACTTATTAAATTAATGTTTTAAGTTCAATTGCCTAAAAGCTTGATTTTCAGCCTTATCGTGTCCAGAGTAATTCGCTTTTGGCCTGCCGCTTAACACCTCCTTAGGCCTCTTCAGCTCCCTTATACATAGTAAACACAGCAAAAAATCCTATTAATGAACTGGGTTCAATGGTAAGTTGTAATCGGATTCAAAAGTCGAGAAGGTTATATAGGTAGTTAGATATGAGCATGGCATCAGAATTGACTCTAATGACGAAATCTACGGTCTGTTTCATCTTGCCACATACAACCATATCGCTTAAGCTAATAACTATACAAGAGATATATAGCAGAGATACTGCAGAGCTTGTAAGCAGGGCCTGGTAGATATGAGATAAAGTATGTACATAGGTTTAAGGTGTTGAAATTTGGCATCCACAAGCTTCTAAAGAGCTGACTTTTAACGACAGAAATGGTCTAGGAAAGCGGAGTCTGTTTTTTAGGTAACACAAACGGGTAATAGGCGGTGAAAATGATCACTCAAAGACAAAACACATTGAAGATGCTAACAAAGGTGTAAGGTAAGCCTAAATAATTATGAAGATTAGACTCGTGAATAATGATGTTCCCGGATTTATGCTAAGCTTAAAACTACTACAAATGAAATTTTTTTTTACAGAAGACGACATCCTCAATTGTGTCCTCATAGTACCAGTAGTTATGCGTCAGGTGTAAGCGACTTGTTCTGCAATGGCCGATTCTTGTACGCTACAATCCGCGTAGGTGTTGCTTTATTTGAAGAGTTCACAGATATTTCCAAGAGAAGTGAATGCGTCAATCGGACATAAATACGACGAAAATACTTCTCCCTTGGTGGTATTCCCTAGCGGATTTAGCATTTTGCAGTAGACTCTCTCAGCTAGAGATGCACTATTATCAGGTTCAGACTGCTTAACGGCTACGTCCATAATCTAGTGCAAAGGTTAAATCGATACTTTTTTTAAG